CACCCCCCCCCCCCCCCCAGCACTCCCCACTCCCAACTGGAGCATCGCAGCCAATGCCTGTCCCGGGTCAGGACACACACCCGAGTCCTCTGCCTCACTGTCACCACCCTGTTGGCGTTCAGTCTTCCTGGGAGCACAGCACTCTGAGCTGATCACAGCCTCCAGGCACTCATGCACCCACCCACACACTGTGGAGCCCACGCCTTCCCTGGGCTTTAGCCCTGGGCCATGCCCTGAGCTTGCACCTGGCTCTTCTGCCCCAGAGGCACCTCCATCGCTCTTGCGGACTTCTCAGGTTGAAGGAGAAGTTTCCTCCATAAAGGCAGGACCAAAAGAGAGGGGACCTGTAGGAGAGGGGGTCCCACTGTGTTCCAGAAGGCTGTCTCACCTGGCTGATATCCAGGTGCTTCTCCAGGTCATAGGAGTTGTTGAGCTGCAGGACAGTCCAGAGTGCGGCCCCTTGCTTGCACTGCCTGGGGACGGACACGGGCGGTGAGAGAAGGGAGGGCAGCTGAGTCATCCTAACGGGACACCCACCTTGGTGCCTCCTCACACCCCACCCCCAGCCCAGGCTGCCCACTCACTCATAGGCCAGGAGGATGCTGAGGTTCCTCTTCAGGCCAAGAAGTTGGGACAAGTTCATGGACGGTGGCAAGTTCCCTGGAGTGTCTACAAACTGGGGATGGGGCAGGAGGGAATGGGCTTGGAGCAGGGAGTAGGGGACAGGGCCGCCCCAGCTTCCCAGGGCCTGGCCCCCTGCCGCCCTGGCACGGCAGAGAATACACCCCTGTGACTTCAGCCCACACCTGCCTCTATCTCCAGTCACTCTTGGGCCCTAAATCCTGGCAGGGACTCCCTCCAGGAATCTCTAGGTGGGTGGCCAGCCTGCTCTTCGGCAGAGGATCTGGGCCAGCATCTCAGCTCACTTGCTCAGTGCAGTGGGGAACTGGGATCCCCAGTTCCCAGACTTAGTGTTTGTTAGGAAACAGAGGGGCTCATGCCTGGGTGCCATCCCTCGCGGCCCCTGCCTGGGGCCTGGGCAGCCACCCAGGGACTCTCTGGCTGTTTGCTCTTACTCCTTATTTACTGGTGAATTTCCGCCTCTCTTCTTAGCCGCCTCCATCATCCTTCCTGTCCCTTTCGCCCTCTGGCCCCCTCTGGCTCCAAACTTCCTTCTGAACCTCCAGCTCTACCCACGTCTCTCTCCATGTCCCTCTGGGCCCGAGGGCTAGGTAAGCCCACCTCGTACAGCTCTCCGCTCTCCCAGCTCTGGCACACCAGCGTCTGCACGTTGCCGCCCACCAAGAAGGTGGAGAAGACGAGGAGGATGAGGGGCACAGCCAAGAGGAAGCTGAAGCCCACGCCCCTGAGGAAGGTGGGGGACACGGTTGAGACAGGCTGAGCGCGGAGGATGCCCTGGACCGTGCTCTCCATCCCCATTCTGCCTCCCGGGGCCACCTTGGTCAGTGAGCCGGCCCCAGGGCAGAGCGCTCTGGGAGAGGACCTCAGAGGACGCAGCCTCCAGGGCAGCAGGAAGGACTCAGAACTGGTGACTGCCCCACCTCGTCCCGCCCCATCCCCCCTCCATGCCCTGGCTGGCAGCCTAGAGAGGGCAGCTGTTTTGCTCAAAGAACCAGGGCTTCAGGACGAGGGGGACACATGTATACTTATGGCTGATTCATGTTGATGTATGGCAAAAACTATCACAATACTGTAATTATCCTCCAATTAAAATAAATTAGTTAATTTTTTAGAAAAAGAGCCAGGGCTCCTGGTCTCTGGGCCAAGGGCACTTGCAGGTGGCCAGCTCCTGGCTCAGCCTCAACATGGCTACCTGGCATGGCCAGCCAGGACTCACCCACGGCTCACCAGCAGAGGCAGCCACCTATAGCATCCAAGTAGGACCCCTACACCGTCCAGAGCTTCTTTATGAGGTAGGGACGGCTCCACGCCAGAGTTTGAAGCTTGGGGAGTGAAACGCAGGCTGGATTTCACTCACCCCTTGGGCCAGGCCCCTTTATGCAGTGCCCAGCCTGCAAAATTGGATGTGGCAGCCCTGGCCTTAGAGATGATCTAGTTCAGGGATGGCAAACAGATTCTACCTCTGGTGTCGCCTGCTAATGGCTGGACACTGGGTAAAGATGGATTCTGAGGCTCAGAGAGAAAAGTGCCCATTGATGATTATAGTTAGTAAAGTTGCCATTTCCTTCTCCAGGGGATCCTCCCAACCCAGGGATAGAACCCTCATCTCTTGCGTTGGCAGGCAGACTCTTTACTGCTGAGTCACCATTATTCACCTGGGCTGAGAGAGAAAGGCACCCATCAATTACTGTAGCTGCCACCAGTGGGGAAGGGGAAGTGCTTCTTTGCCATTCCTGCTGTAGGCCAACCCTTTTATACAAAGGACAGTGAAGCCCAGTTGGGTTATAATTCACCCAGGGCCATGCAACAAGTTGGCCCAGAGCCAGACCAGACCAGAGCTCGGTCTCTTGATCCCCAGGACCGGCTCCTGTAGTCACACTAGGAGCATGAGAAGAATGTGCCAGCCCGGTGGGCAGAGACGCTTCCCGTCTCCCCCAGCCTTTCTTACACCATGAGGAAGCGGGCTCCGGCTTCACCCTTGGCTTCCGAGTGGCTGGGGTCCTCTCTGGCAGATAGCCCCCAGATGCCCAGATTGAGGCCCAGCAGGTTACAGACCACCACGAGCAGGACCACCGAGCACAGCACGCAACCTGCAATCCACCTGCCGAGGAGGAGGTGGGCGTCAGGGAAACAGGCAGGGGCTGACTGAGGACCTACTGGCTGGGGGAGGTGCCTAACCCTGAGGCTGGAGCTTTACAAGTGACTGCCTATAGGGTCCTCAGGCTCAGATCCCCAGGGCACACAGCTAGGTCGGGGGCGTGGAGGCCCAGTGAGTAAGGAGTCTTGGCTTAAATGGAGGCAGGGACTTAGTACAAGGAGTGCTGACTAGGGCTGGAAACTGGGCCCAGGGTGGCTGAGGACTGAACCATCCACCCCCTCCACCTGGCAGGTCTCCAGACACCTGTATCTCTCATATCTCTGCACTTCCTCCAGGAAGGGGCGGCTGCTCTCTTCGACCTCTTCCAGGGCCTGGCTCCAGCGAGAAGCTGCCTCCCAGACTGGGAACGCTTCTCCCATTGTATTTAGGCCTCTGGGCTGCTCAGCCACCACCTTCTTCAGCTCTGTCCAAAGCAGCAGGGGCTTAAGGGATGGGAAAGATCCCCCAGGGGCCCAGGAAGGGGACAGACAGACAGGAGGAGCATCTGGGATGCATATGGATGATCCAGCGGGCCTGCCCACCCCAGAGGGCAGCCTCCAGCCTCTCCCACCCCACTGTCCTGCTCCTTTCTCAACAAGCTTCTTTGGTAGGGGTGGGGTGGCGGGCATTCTGGGCAGCCTGCCTGGCCCCTGGGCAGGCCCTTACCTCTGACCATGTCGGCCGTCTGCAAGGCAGCCAGGATTGGGAGGGCGTTGAAGGTGATGTTCTCCTGCCGGAACCAAACGAGGCTGTGCCTCCTGCTTTCCACCTGGGGGGCCCAGCTTGGGGGACCCTTGTTTCACCAGGTCCAGAGGGAGAGCATCCCTCCACGGTGCTTTCAGGGGAACGGGCTTCCTTTTGCTCCCTTGTCCTTCTCCCCTCCCTTGGCCCAGGCTGACTCAACTCCCCCAAACATGGCTCCTTTCCGTCTCCACCCGCCTGCCCGGTCTGTTGCAGTAGACTCCAGTGTCTCATCTCTCCCAGCCATTCTGCACAGGACCCTCTGTTTCCCTCAAGTCCAGCTCCGGGCTATTCTTCCAGCCTCCAGTTCCACTTCCTTCCTCCTGGAATAGTTTGCTCTAGTCACCCAGCACAACTGACTCACCAGTTCCCCAACCCTGGCATTTTCCAGGCCCTGGGTCACAGGTGCTGACTCACCCTGCACCCTCCCCCCACAGCCAGTCTCCACCCAGGAGAACCTGCCTGTTTTCTGGGGCTCAGGGTGTGAGCTCGCTCCCTAGCCACCCCCAGCCCACACCTCATGAGGATCCTAGCCCTTCCTTCTGAACTCCAGGCCTACTTCCCCCACCAGACTGTGCATGCAAGGACCAGCATCATGAGCCTCCAATCCAGAGTGCCATGTCGGAGGTGAGGCCCTAATTGGACCCAAGCCTGAGGTTCAACTGGGCTCCCACCCCAAAAGAGAGGAACTGAGGTCCCTCACTTCTGAGTTCCCAGGCAGGCGGGAGAGAAGGCAGGCAGAGCAGGGCAGGCACTCACCTCCCAGACCATGCTGTAGAAGTTGGCCTCCGGGACGTCTTTCAGCCAATGTAGGACATGGCCCACGGAAGGCACCTGAAACGGTTTTTGAGAGGGGGTTGTTATGACAGAGTCCATGAAGAAGCCTGGGAGGGGTCCCTGGGGAAGGATGGGGGCAGACGCCTCTCAATACTGTGTCCTCACGTACATGATGGGGACCACCACAGCCCCGACAGCCCTGGGTGACAGTGAGAACTCAAGAAGCTAAGTCAGGACTTCCCTGATGGTCCAGTGGTTAGGAATCCACCACCAATGCAGGGGACATGCGTTCGACCCCTGATCTGGGAAGATCCCACATGCTGTGGGCCACTAAGCCCATGCGTGCTCCACAACAGGAGAAGCTACTGCAGCTAGAAGCCTGTGTACCACAGCCGGAGAGCAGCCCTCTCGCCACAACTAGAGAAGAGCTGGAGCAGAAACAAAGACCCAGCACAGCCAAGAATAAAAAAATAAACAAAAAAGAAGAAGTTAAGTCATGTGAGGCTTACGGCACAAGCCTGGTACAGGGTGATGGTCACTAACCCCAGGTGTGTGGAGAGAGGAGGGGCAGCTGGGGAAAGGGGTCGGGTGTTCGCTTCAGAGGACACCCGGAACACAGGTTGCCCAGGGATGTCTGCAGCCGCGGGCAGAGCAGCCCCCTTCGCCCCAAGAGGACTCAGGCTTGGGCCAGCACCTGGCTGAAGTCTGCTCCCAGCTCCAGGGTGTGGCTTTTGTTCAGGGCCCCTGCACAGCCCTGGCAGTGGGGCTCCTGCAGCAGTGCCAGGAGGCGCTGCCGGTGCTCGTGGAGAGCCGGCGCCAGGGCATCCTGCCCCTCCTGCAGCTCCACAGAGGTGGCGTTCAGGCCTCGGAGGTGGTCCACGGAGACCTGCAGGGCTGAGAGACCCACATCCAGACTGAGGGGCCTCTGCTGCTACCAGCATCCTCAGAGGCCTTGGAGGAGGTCAGAGCAACCCAAGAGGCCTGGTGGTCCCTGGTCTCTGTAGTTGTAGGAAGCAGCCCCAGGGCACAGGAAGCCAGGTGTGGACAGAGAGTCCAGAAAGGCAGGGGTGGGGCCCATGACTCCCCAGCAGGGGGCAGTCAGGTGCACGCTGGAAGAGGCACCCTTTCTAACGTGCGGGCTAAGCAGGAATTTGCAGGCCCCACCCTGCTCGGTCCCGTCCACCCGGGGGCGTGTGGGGGTGAGGGCTACTCGGTGCTCACCTGGGGGACCTCGGAAACCAGGCCCCGGAGGCTGAGCAGAGCCTCCGGCACAGCCGCGGCACTGGGGCCCATCTGCTCGTGCATGTGCTGGTTGGTGACAAAGGCAGTGACCACACCGATCCTGCGGGGGTGGGGGAGAGGGAGGGGGGCTGCTGGCTGGATGCCCTCGGCCCTCGGGCCTCGGCCCACGCCCCCCGCCTGCCCTGGGCGCCCCTCACAGCAGCACGAGGGTGGTCAGCAGCAGGAAGGTCATGAGGACACCACGCTCGCAGGCCATCGTCTTGTGCTCCATCTTCACTCGACCCCCGCAGCGCCGGCGGCAGCGCAAACAGCAGAAGCAGAGCCCGGCAGTGGGCATCGCCAGCAGGTAGAGGCCGGCGATCACGGCGCACACCACGTAGCCCGCCTGGTACCGCAACACCTGGGCCAGCGGCGAGGCATGAGGGGCTGCGCCGACCCTCCCCCCCAGCCCTCTGCCGGCTGACATCAGAAGTTGGGGGGGTGGGGGTGGCAGGGGCACCTTGCCCACGTCTCCTATCTCCTTGTGAGGGGCACCATGTCCTTATTGTTATTTGTTGTTGTTCAGTCGCTAAGTCATGTCTGACTCTCTGTGACCCCATGGACGGTAGCCCGCCAGGCTTCTCTGTCCATGGGATTTACCAGGGAAGAATACTGGTGTGGCTTGCCATTTCCTTCTCCAGGGGATCTTCCTGAGCCAAGAATCAAACCTGCGTCTCCTGCATCAGCAGGCAGGTTCTTTACCACTGAGCCACCTGGGAAAGCCCCATATTGTTATTTGCCATCTTACAAATTAGGGAAGGGAAGTCCAGGGAGTTGGGGCTCCCTGTCCCAGGTGGCGCTAGTGGTAAAGAACTCACCTTCCAATGCGGGAGTCATAAGAGACTCTGGTTCGATCCCTGGGTCGGGAAGATCCCCTGGAGGAGGGCATGGCAACCCACTGGAGAATGCCGTGGACGGAAGAGCCTGGTAGACTACAGCCCATAGGGTCGCAGAGCTGGACGTAACTGAAGCAACTCAGCGCGCAGGCACGCCAACCCCACAGCCACTTAAGGGCAGAGCTGTGGTTTGCAATCAGGTCCGCGGACTGCTTACAGAAGCGAGGAAGTTGTGCCTGAAGCCCACCCTGGGGGTCACCAGCCAGGTGTGCTCGGCTGAGAAGGGCTGTCTCCTCCTGCCCCAGATGCTCACACCTGAACGCCCTCCCGCAAGCCGCCTGCACGCTCACCTCATCCACCTTCACAGAGGCCGGCTCTTTCAGCAGGGTCTTTATGAGCTCTGGGGAAAGAGTCAGGCTGAGTCCGGGCAGCGGCCCTGCCTGTGTCCACCCCCACTGCCAGGCTAACCCTCTCCGGAGGGGGTCCTCCCATCACCCGGCACCCTCGGGGAAAGCAGTGTCACCACAGACCAGTGCCCACCTACCCTGGCCTCCGCAGGGCTGCAGGAGGGTATGTCTGAGGGCAGGCCTGGCCCACCCCTCCCTCTGGGCCCCCAGGTAGGAGAGCCGGAGGAAAGCTGGTTAAGAGCAGAGAAGGGGCCTGGTCTAGCAGCCCTCCCCGCTGAGTTAGGGACAGGCTGTGGGTTGGGGAGGGGTCTGGCCGGCCCTCCTGGTCCTTGCAAGCTCCCCACGACACCAGTCCCAGAGAAGACCTCAGCCGGCTCTTTGAGAACTTTGAATGTATCTTCCTCTACTTTAGGGCCGAGAAACGCAGGCTCAGAGAGGAACAGGGGCTCGCCCCAGGTCACTCAGGAAGGTGATGCTCTGGGAGCTTCTGGGGAGGAAGGTGGGGGTGGGGAGAGCTGGGGACCCTGCCCTCCAAGTGGCTGCCGGGGGTGGGTTAAGATGAGGCTGGGGACCCCACGCGTCCAGGCTCATCCGGGGCAGGGGCGCACTCACCCGCGGGGAAGGGGTTGAGCTGCACCGCTGAGAGGAAGCTGCGTACGGTGCCGTACAGCGAGTCCAGGGGGCCAGGGGCGCGGGCGCGAGGGGCCAGCCAGCGGGCCCTGGCCGCCGGCGCGAAAGCCAGGCGCTCCGCCGGGCCGAGCGCCCTGCAGCCCGACGCGCCCGCCCCCGGGAGGGTCAGCACCATCCCCAGGCCCAGGCCCAGGAGGGCCGCCGGGAGGTCGGGCGCGCGCACCATGGGGTCGGCCGGTAGGCTGCGGGTGGGCGGACGGGACTCAGGGAGCCGAGAGTGCCAGCGGCGCGCGGGGCAAGCCGCGCATCCTTCGCCCTTCTCCGTCCCGCCGCTCTCTGCTCTCCAAACCTGCCCGACAGGTTTGGGCTACCTGGGCACCCGCCCGCCCGTGCGCGGCCGGGCCAGGGGTGGAGGCCTGGGCTGGGGGTGGGGTGGGGTGGGGTGGGGGCAGGGCCTGCTCCGGACCCGCCCCCAGCCGCCTCGGGTGGGAGCCTGGGTGCCCTCTGCCCTGGCCACACGCTCTTGGGAGGGCTTAGCCTCCGAGCTGAGTGGGGGCGCGCACGTCAGTACCTCTGGATTATGGAGGATGGCCCAATTTCAACCATTATATTCAGTGCCCAGACTCAGAAGCCAAATTTGGAGCCTGGGAAAACAGCCATCAGGTGAAGGACTGCAAGGGGTGGCAAGCCCAGCCACCCGGGCCCAGGAGCCAGGTTCCTCTCTCAGCTCCCCCTCGGGCCTGTTCTGTTGGCTCCAGCCATGCCTGCGCCCATGCCAGGTCAGTCCGGAGCAGAGAGGCCACAGGCTTTGTCCAGGGAGGCTCTCTGACGAGTCACTCAGATGGGTACAATCCCTTGGGAGGGTGAATCCTGGCAAAGGTGTGCCCTTTAGCCCAGCAATGCCCCATCCAGTCATCGCCTGAAAGAATTGTCAAGAATATGCCCAGAGATGTGTCTGCACAAGCTTCTGCTTTGTCAGTGGCTGTGAGCCCAGTACGCAGAGGGTGCCCACAGCTGAGCAGGTTGGAGGAAATATTTGCTAAATGGATGGATGTTCCTGGCAGCATTATTCACAATCCCGGAAACAGCCCTGATGGCACCATCATTGGGTGGTGGAGAAACTGGCAAAATGAGCATCTCACACAGTGGGCTGTCAATAAAGAAAATGATGTGAAAATGGCTCTTTTGAAAGATACTCAGTGTCTTAACAAGTGTGAGTAGCTGATGACAAATAGCTGGGTACCTGGACTGAAGGCATAAAACCATGATCATCTCCAAGGGGAACCTCGGGCAATTTCTAATTCTCTTCTACTCACCTGCACTTACTAATGTGTGTGCAACAAACATGCGTTACTCATGTTCAAAGAAGTATGAGAAGTTTGTGAGTGGCCATGGCAGCCACCATGGAGCCCTGGAAGGAGAGGATGCACCTGTCCGTGGGACTCCCCAGCTCAGGCTTGGTTTGCGGTGTGTGTGAGGGGAATAGGGGTTCGGGCTGCTCACGGGGGTCTATGGTAGAGAAGTGACTCAAATTTTATTTTTTTTCTTTTAAAAAATATCTATTTACTTGGCCATGCCAGGTCTTAGTTGCAGCATTCGGGATCTTCCATCCTTGCTGCAGCATGTGGGATCTAGTTCCCTGATTGGGCTCAGAGTCTTAGCCACTGGACCACCAGGCAAGTCCCCTGAAGTGCCTTAAGCTTAAGCCATGACTGGGCCTGCAGCAGAGCCCCAACTAGACCCATTGCTATCCCTGCAGAGCTGGGGGTTAAGAGGGTGCAGTTGTGGAAAGAATAGCCTAGTTAATAACAGGGTGCAGACAGGAAATGGAACCTCATCAAAGGGTGACTCAGAGATGAGGATCAGGGCTACTTGGGGAATGGACTGGGGTGCCCTAGCTCCTTGGACCTGGAAGGAGGGGTGTCCAGGGCCATCACTGACCCCTGGAGCCCAATTGCAGCTGCGGAGGGAGGCCTCTGACTGCTCCGCCCTGTAACTGTGTCAAAAAGCTAAATGCAGGCTGTGCTCACCCTTCCCATCTGACTCACCTGAGCTTCACACCTGAGCTGGGGACACCAAGGCTGCCATCAGGAAGGGCTGGTCCCCCCAGAGCCTGCCTGCTCACCCTCACTCTCCTCCTCCAATGTGAGCTGCTAGAAGGAGCGACTTCCCTGGCCATCACTTTCTAACTTGAGTCCTGCCGCCAGTAGGATGGAAGTAACCCCTTCCCGGCTTGGTATAACCCTCCTGTGTAGTTTTGGTAACTGCCATTTAGGTTTTTCTGCGTGCTTTGACTTGGGTGCGCCAGCAGCAGGAAAGCTGAGGTCCTAACCCCCTGGGGAGGAGTAGAAACCCTTGGGGCTTTGGGAAATTAGCAGCCCAGACCCCCATGTCCTGGCTCCTCACCCACCCCTCTCCTAACAATTATTATCAAGCTAAGTTTCCTGTGTCTCTAACAAAAACACTGCACTTTGAAGATAAGAGTCTTCCCAGTTGGGACTTCTTTCTTGGTCTAGTGGCTAAGACTCCATGTTCACAGTGCAAGGGGCCCAGGGTTTGATCCCTGATTGGGGAACTAGATCCCGCAGGCCTCACCTAAGACCCATTGCAGCCAAATAAATAAATAAAAATTAAAAAAAAAAAAAAAAGAGTTTCCCCAAGAAAAAGCAAAACATATCAAGCCTCCTTTTTAGGGTAGGGCGAGGAGGGTTGATTAAGACACTGAATTTGCCTATTTGATAGGTGAACCAAGTGAGGCTCGGAAGCAGGAGGGACTGTGCCAAGGCAGTGGTCAAGCCACGAGTCTCCCTCCTGAGCCAGATCCTGATGAAGCAATCTAAACAATCTATCGTCAGACCGGCTGGTGGCCTGAGTCTCCTCCCCTCCCCCAGGCCCACCAAGGAGAGCAGGTGAGGCTCAAGGGGTTGGCCCTGGGTGCTGGGCAGAGGAGGAGAGGAATTTGCTGCTATAATTGAATTCCTAGGAGGAGCAGACCGAGCAGGCTGTGTGGGGGCTGGGCCTCTGGGCCGCAGGGTTATCCCTGCAGCAGCCTCTAAGGCTGCGGAGCTGGCAGGCGGGGGCTGCAGGGCTTCTAGAATCAGGAAGTGGGTCCAAAGGAGGTTCTGTCCTGCTGCCCCTTGTAGTCACACCTTTCTGGGCACACCTGCATGCCCCTTCCTCCTGCTATCCCTGGGACCCGCTCCCATCCATGGAGATTCCTTCGTTGATCTGGGATCGACTGACCCTCATTACCTTGGGAATATTTCTGGAGCCACTTCCCTACACTTGACCTCACATCGTCAGAAGTTGATCGTTCCCAAATCTCACAGGCCTTGAGGTTGGGGAGGTGGAGACCTGAGGGGGCGTAAGGGGGACCTTTGCCATGATTCACAAAGCAGCTGGGCCCAAGGATACCAGGGGGCCCTCTGGCTGCCTCATGCCGCCTGCCCTGGAGACGGAGAGGGAGAGGAATGTACATCGAGGAAGCAGCAGACGGAGCGGGTCCCCCTCCTTCCCACCTCTGGGGTCTGTCTGCTGCCCTGGGCTGATGCTGTCTGTGCTTGGTCGTGTCCCCCTCTCTGCAACCCCGTGGTTGCCCGCCGGGCTCCTCCATCCATGGGGTTTCCCAGGCACAAACACTGGAGTGGGTAGCCATCTCCTCCTCCAGGGGATCTTCCTGACCCAGGGATCAAACCCGCGTCTCCTGCATGGCAGGCAGGTTCTTTACCGCCGAGTCGAATGGGTTGTAAATAATCCCCGGGGGCATATCAGCGAGGTCAGAGCACAACACTGCCTCAGTTAACCCTCTTTTGATGGCAAGAATCAGAGATCCACTTAGAGATTTTAAAAGTGAGCATTTATTATAGGGACACAGGGCATTTGAGGAGCCCACGCACGGGAAGTGGAGCTGGGCCTCAGGAGGGCTGGGGGCCGAAACAGGAAACCACTGAGTGCTCCTGCTCTGTCTCAGATGGTCTCTGGTCAGGGACCTCCCCCACTGCACACTGGCCAGGGATCAGACCCACAAGGCAGAGAAGGCTGTCCTGCCAGCCCAAGGCTACCTGTTCTCCCAGATCTGCTGGTGCCAGAGACCAAAGAACCACAAGCCACATCCTGAACTCAAGCAGCAAGACAGTGACGGTGCCAACCTGAAACAGCCTCCCCCAGGCCACCGTGGTCCAGCCCAAAGAGAGACCCCCTAGAGGTGCCATTTCTTCCCGTTGGGTGCTCAGGACAGCAGCACGGAGCAGACCCCCAGGACCTCTGTCTTCACCCTGAGTCTCCCCTTGGACACGTTCCATCCAGGTGCCCAGCAGTTCAAGGACAAAAATCTTAAAGAACTAGATCTTATATTGTATCCAGGAAGAAGTGGCTCCACCCTCTGTCCCCACCATACAGCTCTGCAAGGACACAGGCTTAGGAGTGGAGGGCTGGAAGAGGGGGGTTAGGCCCAAAAGATAAGCCCACCCAACCATGACCAGGAGATGAGCGACGTCATGGAGAGTGGGGAACAAACAATACCTAAAGTTTACAGGGAGTCTTTCCTGGTGGTCCAGTGGTTAAGGCTCCACGCTCCCAATGCAGGGGGCCCAGTTTCGATCCCTGCTCAGGGAACTAGAGCCCACATGCTACAGCTAAGAGCTCACAACTAAAGATCCGGCATGCACCTAACACCCAGCCAAATTAATGTTTTTTAAAAAGATTTTTAAAAAACCCAATAAAGTCTACAGGGAAGTTTCACGCGACATGTTGCCTGCTTAGAATCAGAATCTGTCTCCTGCTTGATGCTGACTGCATGGAACTGGGGAGGAAAGCTGTGTGGTCCTGATGACAGACAGAAGATTCCAAAGAATCTCCATCCACTGGACTGGGGTGGCGGGGGTGGGGGGTGGCGTTCAACTGTTGAGCATGAAATGGCGCGGGAGAACTGAAGTAGCCATTTCACAGATTCCTAGATTCATAACTGTTTGTGGAAACAACAAAGGCCATGATGGACCAGCTGACCGCAAGGGAGCGTGAGTCAGTAATGAGGTTAGACAGCTGAGATGCCCTCTCAGGGCCCCTCCCGGCAGCATTTCCCCGTTTCCATGCAGCTCCTACATCCCCAGGCTGACGATGGGCTGAATGAGGTGGGGGCCCCCAGGCCCTGGGTGAGGACACAGGAGACCCCTGAAACCTGAGAGGTCACAGGCACTCCTGCACTCCCACAGCCAGCCCCGCGGAGGTGAGTCTGCAGCAACCACCCTCAGGAGGCAGGATGCTGTCTGCAGGAAGTGGCAAGTTGCCTTCTGAGCTCTTTGCTCCTCTTAGAAGAAAGGAAGGTCTTTCTTCTCTGGGTGATTTACAGGTAGAACTGCCCTCGCTCTCATTTCATTGTTGTTCAGTTGCCAAGTCATGTCCGACCCTGCGACGCATGGACTGCAGCACGCCAGGCTTCCCTGTCCCTCACTATCTCCCAGAATTTGCCCAAGTTCATGTCCATTGAATCAATGATACCATCCAACCATCTCATCCTCTGTCACCCCCTTCTCCTGCCCTCAATCTTTCCCAGCATCAGGGTTTTTTCCAATGAGTTGTCTCTTTGCATCAGGTGGCCAAAGTATTGAGGGCCATTTCATTAGAGAAGTTCAAATCCAAAGTGAGGGCTTGCCAAGGTATGCATTGATGCTGATTAATGCAAGTACCACAAAACAAAGTGTGGACATATTCACCTAGGAGTGTGAATTACACAGCAGTTCCCAGATGGTGCTAGTGGTAAATAATGCTCCTGCCAATGAAGAAGGCATAAGAGACACAGGTTTGATTCCTGGGTCGGGAAGATCCCCTGGAGGAGAGCATAGCAACCCACTCCAGTATCCTTGTCTGGAGAATCCCATGGACAGAGGAGGCTGGTGAGCTACAGTCTATGGGGTCCCAAAAAGTTGGACACAACTGAAGCGACTTAGCACACACTGTGCTCCTAAAACACAAGGAAGCCACGTAAAACTGTGGGGCTTCTGAGTCATGTGTCCTCACCTGAAGTGATGTCAGCTTCTCTTTTTTAAAAATAATTGTATTTATTTTTGGCTGTGCTGGGTCTTTGTTGCTGTGAAGGCTTTTCTCTCATTGTGGAGCGCACGGACTGTTCTTCTTTGCGGTGCAGGGGCTTCTCGTTGTGGCATCTCTTGGTGCAGAGTGGGGGCTCTTGGGGCGCCGGGCTTCGGTAGTTGTGGCCCCCAGACTCTAGAGCACAGGCTCAGTAGTTGTGGTGCATGGGCTTAGCTGCCCCATGGCCTCTGGGATCCTTCCAGACTAGGGATCAAACCCGTGTCTCCTGAATTGGCAGGCAGATTTTTTTTTTACCACTGAGCCACCAGGGAAGCCCTGTAATGCCAGCTTTTGAGGAATGGGGATAATGGCAAAAGCACTCATTCCCATGAGAGACCTTCTCTTCCTCGTAAGGTGCAAGTCCTGAAACTTCAGTGCGAACTGGGCTTTTCAGGGCTGCAAAGGGAGCTGTCATCTGCACAGGAGCCTTGGGCTCAGCCAGCAAGAAGAGCAGAGACAAGACTGGGGGTGGGCTAGGGGGTCTCAACAGGCTGCTGATGCCCCAAGCTGAATCACCTGCAGAGGCCTGGGTTGCAAATCTCCAGGGGTGGCGCTCAGGTCACTGTGGGTTCCTGCACTCCCGGGGGTTCTGATGGGCTGAGAGTGACCCGAGAGCCACTGCCATGGGTGGTCCCAGCCCCCCTCACAGGAGTGCAGCCCTTATCCTCACGCACTCAGGAGATTTCCTGCGGGGACACAGGGAGGGGGTGTCAGGACTCTACCCCTGCCCGCGGCCATCCCCACCTTCTGCACCCATTGTAACCGCTGAGCCAGGCTTCCAGGACCACATCAGTGTAGGTGGGGAGACTACATGTGAGCAGCCATTCTCAGGGTGTGGGGGGGGGCAGGAAGAAACTGGGGGACAAGAAGGAGACTGGCCCCACAGAACCACCTTTTGGGAAGCCTGCAGTTCCTTGTGGGCCGGCTGGGATTTGGGGGAGTAACACCCGTCCCCAGGACGTTTGGAGATGGGGAGACTTCCCTGCCAAGGCCCAGCCTCTGGGGCTCCTTAGGGGGCTTCCGGGGGCCAGCGAGGCCACAGTGAGCTCTTCGGGGCCACAGTGAGCAGGCAAGAAAGAAGACGAGTCAGTGATCAAAGCGGGGGTCCCTACCTCGCTCCAGCTGATCCTTCAATGCAGAAGGGCTTTATCAAGACGACAGAGGGGCGCAGACAACGGAAGCCTGTGTTTTCTAAATGCAGAAGATGGTGGGCCAGTGCCGCCTCTGAACACACAGGAGGGCAAAGGGGTCTTTCCCAAACACAGAGGTGAGTGGACCAGCACCGTGGGGACGCAGAGAACCCAGGAGCAGTTCCTTCCAAAGGGCTATGGAGCAGTGACTCCAGATGCAGAAGCTGGCAGAACAAGCCAGGGAAGTGGCCCGCGGAGCTGTGCCTACGTGTTCAGAGAATGGCGGGCAGTGCCATCGAACACAAAGGACATCTCAGCTGTGTCTTTAAAACACACTGGACAGTGGGGCGGGAACTGTCGGCCAAAAAATATAGTCACAACCTGAAAGCAGGGAGTTATTTTATTTGGTGGGAATGTTTAGGACTCCGAGTCCGGGAGAGTAACTCTGAGAAAACTGCTCCCAGGAAGCAGGAGGGGAAGATGGGCTATAGACAAGTTTGCAATAAAGGTAGCAGGTAGTCTGAACATCAAAGATCAGGTATCAAGTTAAGGAATTTAGCATTCTGTGTATGGGAAGATACAAGCCTCTGAGCTCAGTGAATTCATTCCTTTCACATGCACCTCAGCTATCTGGGGCCAATTCTGTTTCCTTGTTTACGTTGCTTCTTGTATCCCCCCAGTTCCTCAGCAATCACCATGCAGGAGGGTATGGGGGCTGGGGGTGTGGCGGGGGGTGGAGTGGCAGCATCCGCTGGATCCCAGTTTTGGGAACCCTCATTCACATTTGGAGGCCAGAAATTGCTGAGAGCTGTGACATTTTTTTGTTTATTGATATGGCATGAGAGATTTTCACTTCACACCCCCTTAAGCCACGAGTGTGGCAGTCATGTCCTAACACCAGAGCCCATGGAGCAGAGGCTTGGGATGCACAGGGCGGGGCTCAGCGCCTCCCACGCTCGGAGCGGGCAGGAGGACCAGTCCGGATGCAGAGGGTGATGGAGCCCTGCTGAAAGAGGAGCGGTCCGTGGAAAGGCAGTGGGGCCGTGCCTTTCACCATAGACGACAGGCGAGCGTCAGCTTCCAACAGAGAGGAGAGGGCGGCGGGCCTCAGTCTGGGGCCCCCATTTCCCAGCCGGCCGCCAGTCTTGGGCAGATCGTATTGGCTGCTCTCTACTCCCCACAGGTGGGACCCTCAGCCAGCTGCGGTTGTGGGATCCTTCCCACGCTGACGTCCCCATCTATCATATTTCTCCTGCCTCTTCCACCTGGCTGCTCAGCTCTTCTGCTTCCCAGTCTGTGATTAGGAACTCACACCTGAATGTTCCAGGACTGGCTTTCTATCTTCCAGCCAGATGATTAGTGACCTTAATTACATCAGCAAAGTCCCATCATAGAGTGCTTAGAATAGTATCCAATTGAATAACCAAGGGACGGGACTTCCCTGGAGGCTCAGTGGTAAGGATTCTGCCTGCCAATGCAGGGCACGCAAGTTTGATCCCTGCCTGGTCCAGGAAGAGTTCATCTGAGTTGGCTCTGTGCTCACTAGAGCTCTGGAACCACAACTACTAAGCCCAAGTGCTGCAACTACTGAAGCCGGTGCATCTAGAGCCCGTGCTTTGCAAGAAGAGAACCAACTGCAATGAGAAGCCTGGGCACCGCAACAAAGAATAGGCCCTGCTAGCTGCAACTAGAGAAACCCACAAAAAGCAAAGAAGACCCAGCACAACCAAAAATAAATAAATAATTACATCCTTAAAAAAAATTGACCAAGGGACAGGAATCTTCAAGGGGCATCTCTAGGATTCTGTGTATGATAGATTTCTTTATTGTAAAGCTTCTCATTTGTCTTGAATTGGCTAATATGCACTGTGACTCTTACCGAAGGAAGTCTTCTATGCAAGCCATTTCTGTTATGATTACATTCAACTGACTACATCAGAAAATCCAAAATGACAATGGGTAAGCCAAAACAAAAATGGATTCTTATGCAAAGTGAGACAGGAGGTTGGTCATCCAGAGCTAGCCTAGAAGTTGCATGAAGTAGCAGTGCCCAGGCCCCTCCTCCCTTTCGTTGACTCTGGCAGTGTCTAACCTCATGATTGCCTATGAAATAAAATGAGAGCTGGAGGTCTGGTCGTCACATTGACATCTCAGGCTGGCAGACGGCTGGAAGGGGCTGATATCCCTCCTGGCTAAGGCAAGTTCCTTTAAAGCACCCTCTACCCCACCACTCCCAAACACCCACCCCAAGTCACTCCCAGACCCTGAATGTACATTTCATTGACCAGAGCTTAATCAGAAGGCCACATAGGGAGGCTGGGAAGTGCTCTTTGGGCTGGGTGCTCTGCGCCTGGAATAAGGCCAGGGTCCTGTGACTCCACGAAGATGTGGGGTGTGCATACTGGTTAGATTCAGCTTTCACTACCACCCTGGACTCTCCAAGAGTATGTGATTACAGATGCCTTGTTTTCAGAGCACAGTGCATAAAGTGTGTTTTCCTTTAACCTGCAGAAAAATGTGATATGTCTAGCTGCCCGATACATTTATGTTCTATTCTCCTAGTTCCTGAGTAGTGAAAGTATTTTAAGGCCAAATGAGGCAGCACTGAAGAATATATGGGCTTCCCAAGTGGCTCAAATGATAAAGAATCTGCCTGAAGATGCAGGAGACACAGGAGATGCAGGTTTGATCCCTGGGTGGTGAAGATCCCCTGGAAAAAGAAATGGCAACCCACTCCAGCATGCCTGCCTGAAAAATCCCATGGACAGAGGAGCCTGGCGGGCTTCAGTCCATAAGGTCGCAAAGAACTGAACACGATTGAGTGACTCAGTAGGCATGCACAAAGAAAACATAAACAATCATCCCTAAATTGTATCAAAAAAGAAGCCTGTGTTCCTAGAACTCAAGCCACATCAGTCTCCCTTTGCCCCTTTCACTCATGTGTGATGCTGAGTCACTCGTCGTGTCCGACTTTTTGCGACACTTTGGACTGTGGCCTGCCAGGCTCCTCTGTCTATATTTGACCGTGCTGGTATTCAGATGTGGCACAGCATGTGTGGCCAGCACAACAGCTCCAGGCAAAACGTTCAAGGCACAGGGGAGCTGCACGGCCTGCCTTGCCGCCCATCTTGCCAGCTGGACCCCCAGGCCTGGACCTCTGAGAAGGAGGGTCCCCAACTCCTCCTCTCCGCTCGTGTCCAACTCAAATAGCTCAATGCCCACCCCACACCACCCCCCTCCACTTCCTGTCAAGGTCACTTCTCTGGCGGAGGTCTTGGAGCAAAGGAAGCCTATCTCGGGTTCCCTGTTCACCTTGCAGCTGGTCCCCACCTGCATCTGGGACGCGGGTCCTTTTTCTTCATCCCTGACTCACCACTTAAACAATTATGTAAGGATCTCTGACTAATAGCTAGGGGGCAAAGGAAGGTGACTGCAGCTGAGGAAGGGAAAAAAAACGAACTTCAAATTGAAATGTCAGTCATCATATTCCCAGCAACAAGCTCGGCTCTCTCCAGGGGGTTTCTCCTGGGCTCTGTCTGTCCTCAGGACCTTCCTCCTCTGTGTCCCCTTCTGTCTTCCTCCTGCCTCAGACCCTGGTATTGAAAACCCCAGCTTGTAACCTGAGGGTACTAACGTCAAGGTTTTGTTCGGGTTGGAATTCAAGCTCCCTGTGTTCACAGCAGGTGACACTTCATGGACACATCACATCAGAGAGGTTGACTCTGGGTCCTGGCCTCCCACTTCAGCCTCATTAACCTCTAAGGATCTCAAATGCAGAAGGGAGGTTTGGTCTTGCTTGATTGCCGAGGTTGGCCCTTCAGCCTTACAAAGTGACTGACGGCCGATCTCTGCTGATGGCCAGGAGGGTGAGTCCTGGCCCAGACAGCATCATTCCCAAAGACGAGGCAGGCCTGGGACTAGAGGCAAGGACGCTCATTTTCAGGGCTGGGTCTTCCTGGCCCAAAGGGGGGAGGGGTGAAAGCCCAAGAGACAGAGAACATCAGGGCATCGAAGGAGGGGCAGCCGACTGAATGCTGAAGCCCCGTGACCCGTGGGATAAGTGACTGTGTGCTGGGCCTGCTGCAGGGGGGCCAGGTCGGGAGTGTACCTTGTGACAGGGATGCTGTACCCCAGAGCAGACTGGCCCTTCAAAGGAGGCGGGAGGGAGTTGGGGTGCGGGCACAACGAGAGGAAGAGCAGAGGGAATGCTCTGGCCAAACTAGGAGCCAGGCAGGATGTATGAGGTCAGAGTCAGTGAGACAATGAAGCGGTCAGCCAGCGATGGGCAGAAGTTCGGCATCAGGAGATGGCAGTACGGAATTCTCTGGCGGCCCCATGGTTGGGACTCCGCACTTTCATTGCCGAGGCCACAGGTTCAGTCCCTGGTCAGGGAGCTAAGATCCCCTGCAGGCAGCAGGGTGCAGTCAAAAAAACAAAAACAGAAAAAACACAGGTAGCATCAGGCTAAGCACAGCAAGAATTAAATACACAGGGGGGCCCAGGTGAGCGCAGGTATCAAGGCTTGGGCAGGTGAATGCAAGTCTCAGCAGGCAGGTAGCAGACATCCAGGGCAGGAAAGCTGACCCAGGGCAGCAGGGGGAAGGAGGTCCTGACTCTGGAGCCTGTGGAGAGCCCTCCAGGGTCAGCTCAAGAACCCAGGTTCCACCAAACCCAAGTCCTCATGAGAAGCGTCGGGCCAAATGGGGCTCCTCTTGGGTAGATGTTGGGCAACCAGAAGTACCTGGACACTTTCAGGGAGAAATGGCCTTTGCTTCAGGTCAGAGAGGGACTTCCCCAGTGGCGCAGTTGGTAAAGAATCCGCCTGCCAATGCAGGAGATGCAAGAGACTTCGGTTCGATCCCTGGGTCGGGAAGATCCCCTAGAGTAGGAAATGGCTACCCATTCCTATAGTCTTGCCTGGAGAATTCCATGGACAGAGGAGGCTGGCGGGCTACAGTCCGTGGGGTCACAGAATCGGACGCGACTGAGTGACTAAAAAAAAATAACAAAGCGTCTGATTGCATCACCCAGTGAGGCCTGAGTGTCCATGGCCAGACCTCTCCTCTGAGAGTGTAATTGTTTCTGTTCCTCCCTACACCTGACTCACGTTCCTGAGACATAAGTTTACACCCCTGGGAGAACTCAGGGCAAGCTCACGGGGATGCTGGGCTGGGTTTCCATGGGAAGGCTTTTCTGGGGGCAGAACCACCCAGGGGCCTGTTTGCAGGCAAGGGGTCTTGGGCCTCACTTCTACGCACAGTCAGAAGGAGCCTCAGCTCAAGGCACAGGGGCCTCATTCTCCCCAACTGAAAAGCCGGGGTCAGAGCCATCTCCCCACTGCAGGTTGTATTCTGCTCCCCTCTCCCGAGGCCTCTGGTCATTTCTATGGCAACAGCTTTATAGACCTGACTCTGTGGGAGCCTGGGTGATGAGCCATGTGCCACTGTTGGCCTGGGGAGGCCACAGGAGCAGAAAGCAGCAGCCTGCCCCAGCTGAACAAAGTGTGTGTTCAATGGGAGAAGGACCATCTAAAACCTCTGGGGGGGTGAGTGTATGTGTGTGTTCAATGGGAAAAGGGCCATTAGAACCTCTGGGGTGTGTGTGTGTGAAAAGGTAAAACAAAGACCGAGAATTTAGAGTCCTTAACAGAAACCCTGGACAATGCTGTGCTTCTAAAATCTAAAACCATAAGTCCCAAATGTGACTTGAAGTCGCCCCCAGAGAAAAGTGCATCTTTCAAACCCAGTTAGTCCAACAGAGAACAGGACATCCCACATAATGAGGCAAGCTAGAATTAGAGAGCTAAAAATAATTTCAGGTGTGTTTTGCCAAGAATTCAAAAGGCCTTTCTGCCCACCAACCTTCACTGGGTACCCATTGTGTATCTATCACTGTGCTGAGAGCTGGAAGCATGGGTATGTGGAGGAATATTTCTGCAACTCTGTTCCCTGAAGATACAGGGCATGGAGGGAAGGGATTCAGGGCACAGAGGTGTGCTCTGTGATGACAAGAGAGAATCAATTTTCTCGTTGCTGTTTCTCCATAGACAAGGCTTCTAAAGAGACACACCACTTTATTCCTCTTTGAAGCAGACAGACTGAAAATCCTGTTGGCAAGCCCACAGGAAGCGCTAAGCTTGACAAGCATTGAAGTGGTGAGGCCACCCCAGCGTTTCGAAGGGATGAGAAGCCAAGTTCTGTCATAGGAACGCCAACTAAAACCTTTCTCTTGTTGCTTTGGAGAGGCCCAGGCCTTGACCATGCGCTTGGATCCCAGCTGCTAGGGCCACGCCCAGCTCCCCTCTTCCCAACAATGGACATCACAAGGACTCCTTCTCATCTGTTCTGTAACCCGAAAGTTTGGTCTGTGACTAGTCCCTCCCTCTGAAAGCAGAAATGATTTCATGTACATTCAGCACTTCCACAGTCCCTGACGCGTGGCAAACGCTCAACAAAGGTTGGTAATTACCAGTATAATGAGTCTAGGGCTCATTAATAAATTGAAAATCTCGGGGGCATGGCTCTGTGAAGGTAAATCGTTTTCCAGACTCCTCCGCAGGCTGGAAAAAGATGAAAGGCATTTTCCGCTGAGGCTGGTAAGTTAAATAGGTAATCGGGATGAGTAATATCATCTGCTTCAAAGTGGACGATGATGATAACAAAACCTGTTCTCCCTAGGGGCTCCGGAGACCACAGGTGTCTCCAGCGCGCGGACCTGTCCCAGCTCCAGCCTGGTTGGTGCAACACTGCCCCCTGGTGAGGACAGAGGAACTACAGGGAAATTCTTAAAAGGACCGTGGTTGAAGTTTAGTTGCTGAGTGCTGTCTGACCGATTTGCTACCCCATGGACTGCAGCCCACCAGGTTCCTCTGTCTATGGGACGTTCCAGGCAAGAATACTGGAGTGGGTTTCCATTTCCTCCTCTGGGGGATCTTCTTGACCCAGGGACTGAACCGGGTCTCCTCACTGCAGTTGGTCTCCTGAATTACAGGTGGATTCTTTACCACTGAATCACCTAGGAAGCCCCCTTCGTCTGTAGCTCATTCTTTTTATTGTTGAACAGTAGTTCATTGTGTGAATAAGCCTTAATTTAGTTTTGTATTGTACTGATGGTGACATTTTGGCTGCTCCCAGTTTTGACTACTAAAAATAGCACTATTAGGAACAATCTTGTGTAGGTGTTTTTGTGAACAAGTGTTTTCATTTCTCTTGGGTAAATATTCAGGAGTCAGATTTCCGGGTCAATGGGTAGGTACATGTTTAACTTTCTAAGAATTTGCTAAACCATTTTTCCAAAGTGGTGGTAGCATTTTCACCTTCCCATCAACAGTATATGCTGCTGCTGCTAAGTTGCTTCAGTCATGTCCGACTCTGTGTGACCCCATAGACGGCAGCCCACCAGGCTCCCCTGTCCCTGGGATTCTCCAGGCAAGAACACTGGAGTGGGTTGCCACTTCCTTCTCCAATGCATGAAAGTGAAAAGTGAAAGTGAAGTCGCTCAGTCGTGTCTGACTCTTAGCGACCCCATGGACTGCAGCCCACCGGGCCCCCCTGTCCATGGGATTTTCCAAGCAAGAGTACTGGAGTGGGTTGCCATTGCCTTCTCCGAACGGTATATGAGTCTCCTTTTATTTCTAAAGTTTGGAGAAGTGCAGTTCTACGTGAGCAGCAAAATGAGGAGAATGAGCATTCATGTAAACTATGACGTCAGGATTTGATGAGGCAGCTGTTCTTTCTAGAACTCCCTGCACAGAGACTTTCCTGGTGGTCCAGTGGTTAAGGATCTGCCTTCCAATGCAGGGGACATGGGTTCAATTCCTGGCCAGGAAACTAAGATCCCACATGCCATGGGGCAAATAAGCCTGCATGCGGGAACTACAGAGCCCACAGGCCACAACTGGAGAGAAGCCTTCACTTCACAAGAAAGATCCCCTGTGCCACAGCTAAGACCCAACACAGCCAAAAATAGATGTAAATATTTTAAAAATAAAATCCCTACACAAATGGAAATCCTGGATTAAAACATCATAGGTCTGCTTATAAAAATGTAAGAGCTACCTTCAGACATCAAAACCAAAGAAGAAGGACTTCTTACTAAAAGAAACCAAGGATCTTTGGGGAAAGGCTGGTTTCTGATTTGGCACAAGGAAAGAAAAAAAAGTAAGCCTGGAACCCCTTCCATGTCAGACTAAGGACGGAGCGGCCAGCAAGAAGGGTTCTCACTTTCCACATTTTATTATAACAAAATGATGGGAGATAATATTCCTAATACAGATAACTAACAAAGAACTTATATCAAGAATACATATAAAGAACCTCCACAAATGAATCAAAATCGTTTTTAATGAACAAATGACTTAAATAGTTCTAACAGGGAGGAAACTTTGTGTTCTATTATTAAGTCAATCACTAAAGAGATATTGCCTGTAAATTAAATTATATATACTGCTCCATCTCTGAGAGGGGCTTCCCAGGTGGCTCGGTGGTAAAGAATCCACATGTCAATGCAGGAGATGCAGGTTTGATCCCTGGGTTGGGGAGACCCCTTGGAGAACGATATGGCAAACTACTCCAGTATTCTTGCCTGGGAAATCCCATGGACAGAGAAGCCTGGCAGGGCTACAGTCTGTGGGGTCAAAAATGAGTTGGACTCGACTTAGTGACTAAACAACAACAATCTCTGATCACCCTGCCTCCCGGGTAATGAGTTTTCAGTGAAAATACCTTTGTTTAGCTCACAGTAATCATCCTGACCATACTCACCTGTGAATGGCTGCAGGCAGGAAGAAATTAACAATCTGCACTGGAGTCTGGCCAGAATCAGGACTTTACCTCCTCGCCTATTAGTTTAAAAGAAGCTTGAATTCTAACTCAGGGAAGATGGTTCTTTGGGACATTAGTCTTCCATCTTCTTGGTCTGCTGGCTTTCTCAACAAGTCATTACTCCTTGTCCCAACAACTCGTCTCTCGATTTATTTGCCTGTCATTTTGGCAAGCCACAGTAGCTTGGACTTGGTAAGATAGTCACTTAAAAAAAAGATATCCAAAAGTTCAATTAGCATTTAAAAAGTGATCAGTATCATTAGTTAACAGAAAAATGAAAATTAAAACCACCACAAAAGACCACTGCACATCAACCAGATTGTTAAAAAATTTAAAGGCTAAAATTAGAGTGTAGACAAACTGGAATGCTCATGCTTTAATGACAGGTGTTTTAAATTGGTAAAAGTTGTCTGGAAACCATTTGACATTATCTTCTAAAGCTAAACATATGTCTGCTGCGTGACTCAGGAATTTTCCTCCTAGGTATATGCTTAAGAGAAAAGCATAGGTCTAACAGGAATGTTCATAGCAGTTATAATAGCCCCAAACTAGAAACAACTCGAATATCCGTCAACAGTAGTACGGATTATAGTATAGTCATACAATGGAATACTATATCGTCAGTGGAAAAGAACAAATTACTGATGCATACAAGATAGTTGGGCTTCCCAGGTGGCACTAGTGGTGAAGAACCTGCCTGCCAATGCAGGAGACATAAGAGATGCAGGTTTGATCCCTGGGTTGGGAAGATCCCCTGGAAGAGGGCACGACAACCCACTCCAAGATTCTTGCCTGGAGAATCCCATGGACAGAGTAGCCTGGCAGGCTACAGTCCATGGGGTCACTAAGAGTTTGACACGACTGAAGGGACTTGGCATGAATGCACAATGTAATAATTGATTAAGGCAAGGAACTTCAATGGAGTCCAAAAACACTAGGTGAACTTTTGTTGGGAAGCAATACATTCAGATGACTTATTAAGTTGAAAAGGAGAGATGATTAATTATAATAAGGGAATCTGGACAAACATTGGAACAAAGTAATCAAACTTAGCATTAGGAAAAACAGGACAAACTGGCATTTTGAGTTTCTTGATATGATTTGAGGATTACACAACACTCAGGTAGATTTCTTGCTAAAAATGCTTAATCTGGTTCTAATCATGAGAAAATAATCAGAAAATACAGTTTGTGGGACATTCCACAAAATGACTGGCCTGGACTCCTCAAAATGTTAATGTCATGAAAGACAAAAAGAGGTTGAAAGATCATTCTAGACTGAAGCAGCCTACAGAGGTAGGGCAAAGAACATGCAATGTGTTATCATTGATTGAAAACAGATGGTGGAGCTATAAATGACATTTTGGGATAACTGTGGATGAAATAAAACTGCCTGTATATTAGATAGGGCTTCCCAGGTGGCTCAGCGGTAAAGAATCTGCCTCCCAATGCAGGAGATGCAGGTTTGATCCCTGGGCCAGGAGATCCCCCAGAGAAAGAAGTGGCAATCCACTCCAGTATTCTTGCCTGGGAAATCCCATGGGCAGAGGAGCCCGGCAGGCTACCGTCCACGGGGTTTAAAAAAGTTAGACACGACTTAGCAACTTAGTAAATTTAATTTACAACTTAAATTCTTGTATTTAAGACCAAGGACAACGTCTCTTCCACCACCACTCTCAACTCTGGACAGACAATGCAAATTGCCAACCTCTGATTTCTACCCCTTCAATTTGCCTAAAAGGACCACTTATCCCTTTAAAATGTCATCCCCTTAGCATTATGAGAACATCTAGCTCAGTCAAGATGTCCTCTTTCCATCACGGCACACCCTGTTTCTTGTGCAAGGATTTAGCAGCGTACCTACACATCAGGGTGTTGGAAATAATTTTCCTCTCTCCCTAGGGAGATTCACAGTGTCCTCTGTCAGGATATTTTTTAAAAATGCAGAACTCTTCTCTCACATTCTGAGTAAGCTATGTCCCATATCACCAATGACTTCTCAATTGAATCTCTTTTGTAACATAGTCTTAATTCCTTTGTATCCCTCACAGCATTATAGTAATTGTTCAGTAAGGATGTTCTGAATGTATTGCATTTACATTGCTTTTATCCAGTATCAATTCTCTTTTGCTGGTTGAAGGCTGAATGCTCACTAAAGGCTTTTCCATATTCCCTGATTTTCCCTCCAGAATGAGTTTTCTGATGTTGAGAAAGGGATGAACTCTGGCTGAAAGCCTTTCCACATTCCTTACACTTATAGGGTTTTTCTCCAGTGTGAGTTTTCTGATGCTTTGTAAGAGATGAGCTCTGGCTGAAGGCTTTTCCACAGTCCTTACACTTGTAAGGTTTCTCTCCAGTGTGTGTTCTCTGATGACGGATAAGGGCTGAACGGTCGCTGAAGGCTTTGGCACAATCGCTGCACTGGTAGGGTTTCTCCCCAGTGTGAGTTCTCTGGTGCTGAGTCAGGGCTGAGCAGTAGCCAAAGGCCTTCCCACATTCGTTACACTCATAAGGCCTCTCCCCGGTATGAGTTCTCTGGTGCTGAATGAGGCCTGAGCGATCACTAAAAGCTTTTCCACACTCATTACACTTATAGGGTTTCTCTCCAGTGTGGATGACCTGATGCTGGGTAAGGAATGTGCTTTGGCTAAAGGCCTTCCCACATTCATTACACTCGTAAGGTTTCTCTCCAGTATGAATTCGCTGATGTTGAGTGAGGTATGAACTCTGATTGAAGGCCTTCCCGCATTCATTGCATTCATAAGGTTTCTCCCCAGTATGAATTATATGGTGCCTAATAAGGGCTGAGCGGTGACTGAAGGCTTTCCCACATTCATGACATCTGTAAGGTTTCTCTCCTGTGTGAATCCTCTGGTGCAGAGTCAGGTGTATGCTCTGACTGAAGGCTTTACCACATTCATTACATTCATAGGGTTTTTCTCCTGTGTGAATTCGCTGATGCAAGACAAAAGCTGAGTAATAACTAAAGGCCTTCTCACACTCATTACACTTCCAAGGTTTCTTTCCTGCACAGATTTTCTCATGTTTCATTAGATCTGAATTTTGCTTCAAGTTCTTTTTAAATGAATCACGGCTGTGTCGGCTCTCTCCTTGCTGTTGGACAAGTAATGACCTCCGACTAAAATTTCTTCCAAATTCATCACACTGGTAGCTTCTCTCCCCAGAAGGTTTCGTCTGAGGGCCAACCTCTTGTATTAAATGTTTCTCATGGTTTTCCTGCTGATTCTTTAAAGAATCTTCACATTCACTGGAACTTTCCTTTGGAAATCTCTCTACTAACACCCCAGGGGTTGATTCTTCTTCAGAAATGTCCTGCTCTGGGGCTACCTCCTTGCTCTCTGGTTCTGTACCCCAGTCTGAAATAAACAAAACTACAATGTTATCATTTCTTACACTGGGAGAAAAATAATTGCTGTGAAAGGAAAATAATGAAAGAAACAAAAAATGCTTACAGGGAACAGAGGAGCTTGGAAGTTCCCACAAATAGCCTTGCAACCTTGAGTGAGCATGAGAAAAGAAAGATGACTGGGCAAAGGGGTGCAGAGGCATAAAGGGAGAGGTGAGCAGGTACTCAACAGTCCCGTGTCTAGCAGGGGAGGAAATGAGAAAGAGTAATAGAACAAGACTAAACATAGGTGATGGGGGAAACAGCAGATAACAAACATGGTCTGGTGGAGACTGGGGGTATCAGAGAGGGATGGTCTGCCAGGGACTGCCCACTGTCACAACCTTATCAGAGCATCAGGTTCTGAGAATGTCCATTGTCAGCTGACCTTACCACCAATCTTTTCTTGTTCTAGTATGTCCCAATCACTGCTAGCAGACTGAACTTCTAAAACCATACCTCTTAATACAAAAACCTTTGTTGGTTCCGCTGTCTCAGAGTGTGACACAAAATCCTAGAAGCTAGCATTCAAGGTAGTCCAGATCTACAAATTAAATTAGTAACTGAAAGGCAACTTAGCAGCTCTGATCACTCCACACTGAAAACACTGGAAAGAGTAAGCCAGAACCAAGTTTTTTCAAAAAATGAGCAATGTATGGGGAGGAGAATTTCAAACCCCTCACAGACTCAGTTTGGTCCAGACTAGGCCTCAAATTCTAGACTTCTTAGTAAGAGTTTGGGGGAGGGGATGGGGAAAGCTGCACCGCTAGCAATGTTTAAATATTCCAGGCTTAAATGGTCATCAGTATCCATTCCAACCAAGACTTCACATGACATAAATACAATACAATGTTTTCAATAACATATAATCAGGGAAGTGCTGGGATTTTTAAGGACAAGTTGGTAGAAACAGGTTAAAGGCAAACGGACTTTCGGCTAAGGGGAGTGGAAGAACTGAAGCCCCAAACATTCATAGAGAACACATGGTTAGTGCAGGGTAGTCAGAGACTTGCCTGTCTGGTGTTAAGGGTTCAAGCTGAAGAGAGAAGGTACAATGACTAGGCAGGTAGATTAGCAAAGGTCTTGAGGGCAGAAGAGGAATACGGAACTGGAAGAGTTAAGTAGCTCACAGTGGGGAATCTGGCAGTAATATGCTGCCTAAGTAGACAAGGATAAGAAAATAGAATTAAAAATTAAAGAAAGTATAATTAGCTGGTGGTCTATTACAGCATCCAGTTTGACAGAAGTGATAGGCTCAAATCTTTCAAAAAGTTAGCAGGACTTAATCCTTAGTTATCATTTGCTTAGCATAGAGCCAAGGTACTGTTCTAAGCATTTCTCTTAGACTATTTCATTTGATCCTGACAGCCACCCCGTGAGTTAAAGCTATTGTTATCTGCATTTTACATATTCCCCATTTTACTGTTGGGAAATTTGAGTCACAGAATGGATAATTCCCAGACGGCTTAGATGGCAAAGAATCTACCTGCCAATGCAGGAGACATGGGTTCAGTCCCTGGGTTGGAAAGATCCCCTGGAGAAGGAAATGGCAACCCACTCCAGTATGCTTGTCCAGAAATCCCCCATGGACAGAGAAGCCTGGCGGGCTATAGTCCATGGGTGGCAAAAGAGCTCGATCCAACCTATTGACTAAACAAACAAATGGATACTTCACCTGCTAGAGGTTAGAGTTGATAAGTAGTTCAAATTGGCTTTGAACCCAGGAAAAGTGGTTCCAAAGTCTGCACTCTTACCCACTATGCTATGCTGCCCCCATTTAGATAGACAGTAAGGCAAGGTTCAAATTGGCTTTGAACCCAGGAAAAGTGGTTCCAAAGTCTGCACTCTTAACCACTATGCTATGCTGCCCCCATTTAGATAGACAGTAAGGCATGGGAAGACTCAGAGACCAATTTATGATCACTGGTCTGAGACAAAAAGTCACCTTATCCTAAAGAAATATTAATAAAGTAGCATATATTAAAAAGCATGGTTTAGAGCCTTGCACCCAAATTATTAATAAATATTTAAAAGTTGACTTCACTTCACCTTATTTGGAGAAGAGAACTGATTTGAAAGGATGGAAAGTATTTGTTTTCCAAAAAAAAACCTATGACTTTACAACAGATCATCATCCAGAGATACAACGAGGCCCAGGAAAATGGCACTTTAACCTTTCCTTGGGTCTAGCAAAATCAAGCATTTCTAAGATGCTATTCCCATCTGGGTTTTCTGTTCATGGTTTACAACACTCACCTGGATTAGCTGCTTTTGAGACTTTTCTTTCCAGCGTCTCCCCACTCTCCAACTGAGAAATTACATCAGGCTTGGAAATTGGAAGCCCTGTTTACAGGGAAAGAAAAAGGAGTCTCAGTGTATATGTTCAGTGTGAGTGACTTGCTTGTCAGAGAGAACAGGATAAGACAGGATTTCTCCGAAGAAGTTAGGAAGATTGGTATGGGGTCTACTTGAGTTCAGAACCAGTGAATCACTTGTTTTCACCTCTCTCTATTAAAAAAATAAGCACCCATTTCCTTTTTTTCCCCTTAGGTACAGATTTATTATTTGAATATTTGCAACTATTATTCTATACAAATTTCTTATAAAACTCTACATTCCATATTTCTAGGTCACTTAACTCTCCATTTTATGTACCATTTTCACGGAGAAATACTTCCCAAATCACAATCTGCTTGACAGTGTTTGCTGTTGTTTAGCTGCCAAGCGTCCAACTCTTTGCGACCCCATAGACTGCAGCCCACCAGGCTCCTGTGTCAACGGGATTTCCCAGGCAAGAATACTGGAGTGGGCTGTCATTTCTTCTCCACACCCATTTCTTAAGAGGTGTTTCTCCTAGAACTTTGTCTCAGCATCCTCAGTCAGGAAATAGGGAAGAAGGAGGGCTACTGCCTTGGCAAATACAGTTTTAAAAAGGTATTCGTTTCTGATTCTAGAAGTGTTAAACCTGTGTTTAGAAACAAAGAGCAGAAGATACCTGCCTTATACCGGGATTAGGAATCATTGCATCTAAGAACCTCAGAGCTCCTAGGAACTGAGGAAGCCAGGGTACCACACTGGGTAATTTCGCAGGGTGGGGGTGGGGGTGGGAGTGCTGCTTACCGAGCAAGACCAGATTCCTAGGCTTCTCAGGCTCGCCTCCCTGCGGAGGGTTCAGCTGTTCCCACTGGGTGACAGCCTCGGCCATGTCCCTGATCATCGATCCCTGAAAACCAACCACATCAGTGCTCACCAAGGGACCTCCTACCAGCAGCCTCTGGGCAGGACTCAAGAAGATGGCATAGGAGAAGGAAGACAGGGAGAAGAGGAAGGTTAGGCAAAATGACCTCTACCATTCCAACACTGATGTATTTACAACCACAGACTCGCTCCTGACCGCCATGCACCAGAATCGAATATAACCTGCAGCTGGGAAGGAACATCTTCAGGGTAAAATCCAAGGATACCAAGTTCCTAGTTTACGTATCAACAAGTTAAACGATAGAACTATAGAAATCCTTACTATTTAGACATGGGAGAGTAGAGGAAATAGAAATTAAGCACTTTCTTTATGGCAGGGTTTAAAAATAACAAGAGATTCAACAAATAGGAATTACTTTTCCCTTTAGTTTTCCTTTGACAATATAATCAGTCCAATATATTTACAAAAAAAAATGAGGATGTTTGCTACACATGTTGCAGTATATAGATTTATTTATAAAGCAGCATTTTAAGCCCCAATTATTATGAGTTCCCAAAGTGTTCTTGCCATTTCTCCCCAGTCAGTCTGCCTACTCTGCCACCCGCCCCCACCATCTACTCTCCCTCCCGTCTCACTCCGCTCCCCCGCCGTCTACTCTCCCCGTCCCGTCTCACTCCGCTCCCCCGCCCCCGCCGTCTACTCTCCGTCCCGTCTCACTCCGCTCCTCCTGTATTCTCTGTGCTCCAGCAGCTGGGGGCTGCCTGACATGTGGCCACAACCACTTCTGCCCCTTTATACACGTGGCTTCCTGTTCCTGAAAGTTCCCCCTTTGCCCCATCCTTTCAGCTGTTTTTTTAAAAAATTGTATTTATTTAAAAAATTTTTTTGCTATGCCATGTGGCATGGGGGATCTTAGTTTCCATACCAGGGATCGAACCAGTGCCCCTTGCATTGGAAGCATGGAGTCTTAACCACTGGATCACCAGGGAAGTCCCCCTTTCAGCGATTTTGATCCCACTCACACTTTGGCTTTCAGCTCAGGGAAGCCCTCCCTGACTCTCTAGGCTGTAGCACCATGGGTTTTCCCTTTTCCTGGGTTATGCACACAGTGAGAAGACTTTGTGATGAACGTCTGTCTGTCCCCATTAGACACTAATCTCCACAGCAGTGGAGACCAGGTTTAATTTGCCTCAGTGAAGCAGCGTAGTCTCTGGCACAGAGCAGGAACACTAAATATCTGTAACGAGTTCAAAGGAGGAACGTTTGAACAAGAATGAGTAGGAACAAGTTTAAATGGGGTGTTCTATGAAAGTGTGCCATGGGGACAGAGGTGGGAGGGGAACGGAAGCTTATCAAGTGTTGAAAACACTGCAGGAGTGTTTACTTTACCGTCCCTTGACCTAGATGACAGGCAAAAAGTTTAGACTGTGCAGTCAAATGTAGAGAGAGTGAGCAGGGTGGGTAATGTTCCTTTGAATCTATAGCTGAATCTGTTCATGAATGGTAAAACAAAAGTCTCATAATTTTTCTAATTCTATTAAAACTTTTCTCTATACAACTTCAAGTTAAAGGAGACACATTGAAACAGACCAGTCCCTGGGATGCTAGCAAATGAACCAGTTATGGCTTTCTTTGAAACACCACTTTTACCATAGCCCCTTGAATATAAATGTATTGGACTGGCTAAAAAGTTTGTTCAGTGGGTATATATTAAAAAAAATTAAGATGTTTATTACACATATAGATCTATTTATAAAACAGCATTTTTAAGCCCCAATTATGACTACACACACACATATGTATCCTCCAAAAACTACTGGTTAGGTAATTCACATAATGAAATAAAGTTAAAAGAACTACCTACTTGAATATTCTCTGCTCAAAATAAGTTAACTATTTTTCTAATACCTGAACAACGAAATCACTTCTCTTTTTGAGTTAGGGTCCCTTAAAGTCACATGCCTCAGGAGTGTTCAGCACAGGCAATATAAGTTGTACAGTGTCTTTTCTTCACAAGCAAGGCAGCAGGGACAGACTACCTAGCACTTCCTTTCGGGCTTCAGTTCTGAGAAAACCTCAGCGACCAGACTCATTCACGGAGGGGGCTGCTGCTCAGTGCGCCTCTGCGGGGCCTGGGGGGCAAGTAAACCAATCCCGCACCGTCCAGTAGACAGCAGAGCCCCCCTCTTTCCTCTGAAAGCTGTTGTTGTTCAGTCTCAGTTGTGTCTTGACTCTTTGCAACCCCATGGACTGCAGCACAACAGGCTTCCCTGTGCTTTACAGTCTTCTGGACTGTAAAGCACAGGACTCAAACTCACGTCTATTGAGTTGGTGATGCCACCCAACCATCTCATCCTCTGTCACCTACTTCTCCTCCTCATTCAGGTCAGAAGCAGTACTGGTGTTTCCTCCCAGAGTTCTGCATAAATTGTCAGCACCTGGATGCTGTGAGGCAGGTCTGAGGATGACGGGCAGTCCCAGTGCGTTTACCACAAGGTCTGCTGTTCTCCCAGGGTCCTGGACCAGATCCTTCAGGGCACCTAGACTCATCTTCTCTCCTTAATCAGTCATGGCATGTTTTATCTTGCTGGGACTCTAAAAACTTTCATGGGGTCTTATCTGTCTTTGGAATAAGATCCTGTGTGGGACTTCCCTGGTGGTTACGAAGGGAAGTGGGTATATATTACCCTTCGAAGGGTAGTGGGTATATATATATAACCCTTCCCAGTGGTTAAGAATCTGCCTGCCGATGCAGGGGACACGGATTCGATACCTGATTCAGGAAGATTCCACACACCAAGGAGCAAGTAAGCCCGTGCACCACCACCGCCAAGCCCCTGGGCCATAACTACTGAAGCCCACATGCCTAGAGCCCGCGCTCTGCAACAAGAGCAGCCAGCACAGTGAGACGCCTGTGCGCCACAACAACGAGTGGCCTCCACTGTGGCAACTAGAGAAGGCCCGCGCACAGCGACAAAGACCCAGCACAGCCAAGCATAAACTTCAAAAAATAAATAAAAAGTTAAAAAAAAGCTCCTGTGTAGACTTTCCTGTGGTCTGGCTACAACAGGCATACGCTTCTCTCACCACACTCCATCCAGCTCACTCCACAGTGACGCACATTTCTCTGAAAATCTCTGACTCTCTCATCACTTGGAGACTTTCTTCCAAAGCTGTTCTCTCTCTTGGAATATTCCTATATTCTATTTTCCGTCTATGTACTCTCTAGTCTTTCAAAATACAGCTTTTATGCCAACACTGCCCTCCCAAATACTCTAGAGGATGGAAAACCTCTTCAAGGCCTATGATGACTTGTCTGTACTAGTAATTTCTTTCTATTCTTTTTTGATTTTGAAAACTTTCTTTAATTAAAAATCTTACTGTCTTGCAGTCAAGAATTAAGCCCTTATACACAACTAATGAAAGGAAATGATGTTCTTTTCGTGGCCACCACTCTTACAAGGCAACTGTATAGTCTGTGGTCAGAAGTGAATTTTTTTGTAATTGATGAATTTATTTTTAACTGTTTTGTTGTACTAGTAATTTCAGTATTTAAAATTTTTCTGCATTTAGAAAAATATATTTCTTCTTGCTGTTTAATTATGCTTTATTTTTTTGATTGTGCTAGGTCTTTGTTGCTGCACGCAGGCTTTCTCTAATCGTGTTAGGTGAGCGGTACTCTCTAGTTGCAGTGTGAGGGCGTCTCATTGTGGTCATTTCTCCTGTTGCAGAGCGCAGGCTCCAGGGTGTGCAGGCTTCGGTAGTTGTGGCCTAGGGGCTCATTAGTTGCAGTGAGAGGGCTTAGTTGCCCCAAGGCACGTGGGATCGTCCCTGACCACGGATTCAACCAGTGTCTCTTGTACCCCAAGGTGGATTCTTAACCACTGGACCACCACGGAAGCGCCCTGTTTAACGATCTTCCTTATCTATACCTTGTTTCCTCAGTAAACTTCACGAGGCAGAGGCAAATGGCTTTTACTCCTTTGCATCTCACCAGCAGGCCAATTACAGCGCAGAAGAGCTTGTGCACACCAAGTACTAAGCAGACCAAGAAGTCATGCCAGGAGGCAAAATCCTGCATAAGACAGGAGCAATGACTATCAGGTTCATCACTCATCAGTTTATCAGGATAAAGACAGTGGGCCAGGAACCAGGGCTGAACAAATCCATAACAATGCTGGAAACCACATTCATGTCCCGAGAACAGAAAAAAAATAAAAAATTTAAACCCACCTGGGATGCAGGGGTCAGCAGCACAGTGGTCAGGCCATTTTCTTTGGGGTTTCCAGCCTGAGGAAGGTCTGAGTCCTCAGAAAGTGACCCTATAAATAGACACAGGAACCAGGGTGACTACTCTTGTTTGCAGTAAACTCCCAGAAACTGCCAGACACAACTACTTGTTACCTAGGAAGAGTCAACACAGGGAACCAAGGGACAATTACACAATATCTCTGAAGCAAGAAAGCCATGACCATGGCTGCCTCAGGGATCTCCTTCGCTACTCTGCCCTTAAATTCCAGCAGAACACTGCTGTAAGATCCTGGACACTTAAAGACATGTTTATTTATATCTCTTATCTGCTGAGTGACAGTCAAAATAAACGCGAAGTCCCGCTTGTGTCAGTCCCTGCCTCTTAATGAGTCATTCCTGTTCTAGTCCAGGTTCACAGGATGAAAGACTAGTTAAATTCTTTTTGAATACTGGCCTGCTCAGAAATGCAATGNGGGGGGGGGGGGGGGGGGGATCCAGGGCACTAAACAAATCCTGTGACTTCTCAAATCCTCACTTTCCCCATCTGCCAAATGGGTCTATTTGGATATTCTCCTTCCTACACAACAGCCTTATGGGGCTCCTGTGAGAACAAATATTATCAAAAAGCCAAATGTTCAGATCTGTCGATTTCGTGGGCAAAGAAGGCATACACCAACTTAGAGACGGCAGGGCACCCGAAAGACTAGCAGGGCAATGCAGGTCGGGGGCTCCCCTTAAACCCCAACGTGAGATCAACTAGTAGGAGACGTTATGTGTGTTCTTCCTGAGCCTGCCCCAGCCAGAGGGCAGCCTTTCTCCTTTTTTCTCTCCAGCAGGCGGCATCCCTCTGAAATCCTCACCTCTGCGCTTCGGCTCCATGCTGACTCGCTCCGCGCTACCGCTGGTGACGACTGCGGGAAAAGGAAGCGGCGAACGCGCGAGGGGCCGGGGGTCCACCGCGCCGGCCCACCTAGAGGCCCGGGAACGCTCGCGCGACCCTCCCTGGGCAGCTCGGCGCCTTCCACCCCGGGGCCCTCCCCGGCCCTCCTTCGGGGCACTCAGACTCAAGAGAACACGCACTCAATCCTCCTGGACCCTAGGCTCGACCTCATGAACAGCACTGAGTAGGCTTGGCGGGCGACAAAGGCATCTAGGAGCCTGCGGGGCTGAGTCGCGCCGGCCCGAACTCGCCGCTAAACTACGACTCCCAGAATCCTCCGCAGGGCGCGGCGCGCATCACCGGATGCTGCTTCCCAGAGGACCCCGCGGGCGGCTGGCCAAGCTACATTCTGCGCTGGGGGGCTGTGCTGGGTCTCTAGAGGTGCTCAGTCCTTCGGCGAGCTCCTTCCTGGACGCTACAGGTGCCGCCGCTTCCTCAGTGTCTAATCTGGGCTCCGACCCCGGAGGACGTGCTCTGCCGAGCCAAAACCAGCCTCGAGAGGGACACTCGCTCTCCGCAACTGTAACTGGCAGAGGGCGGCGCCACCCACCCACCAGGATTTCTCTCTGGCTACTGTGCTCCCTCGGAGGGTAGGCGTCCGCATCCCAACGGCTGTTCACTCCGCTGCGTCGCTTCCCGTCTACAGCGCCTCCACACCATTGAGGCTCGGGGTGGGGGTGGGGTGGGGAGAGAGATTTCCTTAAGTAACCAGGCAGCACCTTGGAATAAGGAAAAGTAGAATCTCAAAAATTATATCTTGGTCTCACAAAACAGCAGAGTGGAGTTTAAATACCTTGGTATAAAAACCCATTGGTCCCCAGTGAGTCCCCATTGTCTTAAGGGTGGATTGACCTTGAGTTCTAAATTTATTAGATTTCCTGAATTTAAATTTGAGGATCACTGTTGCCTTCTAGTCTGTCTTTGTGTTTAGCACAACATCCTTCCAGGAAAGCATCCCTGTCTTCCTTAAGAAGCTCCAGTGCCATCAAAGGCCAGTAACTTTGAGGTGAAAGTTGATATTAAGAGAGGTAAACAGGGAACCAGTGAATCACCATGGAAGAGGGAAAAACTGGAAAGGATCACCTCAGCTCAACATGGGCCACTTCAACTACTTTCTGTTTTTTTTTTACCATAGAAGAACTGCTTCAGTAGCAGAGACCACTTAGGAATTTAACGTCCACAGCCGTTTTTCTCTTCGACTTCTTGAGGAATCACGATTCTGGCTTTATCAGCATGTTACCTAGTGACTGGCACCTGGTAACCTTGCTCCCCAGCTCCTCCTCACCTCTGGTTATTCATGTGAGTTTTGGGGATTAATGTACTCTCAGCGGCACAGGCCTGGGGGTGAGTGCTGCAGAGCTCAGAAGCTGGCCAACCTGGCCATCCTGGCATCCCAGATAAATTTCTTGGATTAGTAGTCCCACCACTTATCTGCCCCAGGCTTTGCTGCACAGGTTTGCTCTATCTTATTCAATTTATCTCAGAGTTCATGTCATCTCAGAGTTGACCCTTTTTCTTTGAAGAGTTGATTCCTGGAGTGCTTCTGGTAATCTGTATGGTAAGTTTTCAGTTCTCTCGTAAAACTTAGGGCTTATTTAAACACCAGAGAAATTATTTCCTTTCTTCAAAACCACTTTTAAAATCTTAGGCTAAAACCCTACAAACAATACCAAGTCTTTTGCCTTATATCCTAAGAATGCCAATTTCTGATTCCAAGATTTGATCTTATTAGTGGCTATCTGGTGAAGCTAAAACCTCAAAATGGAAAGCCTCCACTACTGGGAGGTATCAGTTAAGAGTTAAAAGGCCCTTTCCTGAGAATTGTTGGCAGGAGATGGAAAGGTACTTCACCTTTTAAAAATGCTCTGCACATCTCCAAGTTTTAAAAGGTAACAAAAGGAGAACTGCTGAATTTATGTTCCCATTCTGTTTCAATTATCACTTTACCCAAATGTCAGTTAGAATTCTGAATTCATTCTTGTCTAATCTTGCTGACAATGGCAGAGCATTCATTCTTGTCTAATCTTGCTGACAATGGCAGAGCATCTTAGGGAAATACTGGACCTTCAACTTACTTTTAAGGCAATAAGATTCAGAAGGTAATAAAGATAAGGCAAAAAATAAGGCAATAAAGATTCAGAACTCTCAGAGTCAGTCATCAGTGAAAAGTTTGGCAGTAGTTCCTTTTATTTTCTACTTGACATTATTAAATAATAGCACATATTATCCACTCCAACAGATTCTGCACTCTGGTTTTAACTCAAGTTGCTTTGAAAGTCGACATGTGAAAAGCCTTCTCTGCTGTTGATCTGCTTTAAGACAGGTAGACCAGTAGGGTTGAGTAGATTAGGGAAGGGTCTGTTTGGCAATCCAGTTTCTTGAACTAGATTTCAGCTCCCAGGGAGAAATGGATCTTGGTCCATTAGGGTTCATGCAGGGTAGCTACATTCCAGACAGTCTTTCAGAATCAGGTCTTCTGGGTTTCACCTTAAGTAAACAGAAAGGGAATGCAGATGCCTGGAATCAAAGTTGCCTGGTGCCTCACCTTCAAGAAAATAAAAATAGAGGGCAGGGCCCAGGAAATAGAACTTCCTGGTGGCTCAGTGGTAAAGACTCCCCTGCAGTGCAGGAGACATGCGTTCGAGATCTGGGTTGGAAAGATCCTCTGTAGAAGGAAATGGCAACCCCGTCCATTATTCTTGCCTGGGAAATCCCATGGACAGAGGAGCCTGGTGCGCTACAGTCCATGGGGTCAAAAGAGTCAGACATGACTCAGTGACTAAACAACAGGGAACAGAAGGATCTGGGGAGTCAGGGCTTCAAGTTGAGTAATGCAGGGTCATGTCAGGGCAGACTTTAAATATTTAGAGACACCTTCATTAAACAGGGAGCTATTTTAGGTCTTGAATAAGGCAATGGTGGGCAGGAAGGGGGTCACTTGGAAAGGCTGACCTAACAGTGATATGGAAAAATGTAACTTGTGACGGGGGCTGTTGATATTAACTAATTACTGAGGTGCCTGTTGACCTAGCCTTTTGGTGCTGGGTTCTGATTTATAAGTGATGGCCCTTAAAACTATCCCAAAATATCCCCCATGATGACATTGGAGGCAACATATTCTAAATGATGAGGGTGAGGAAGAAAGACTGACTCATCTGATTTTATGTGAGAAATGAATCTTTATTTGGGGTTTGCCTGTTATTGGGCCATAGCTTGATATCCCTGTCCTCAATAAAGAGGAGGAAGGAATTCAGATCAGGGAGTGACTACTACAGTAACAGAAGCCCAAGATGACAAAAGTACAGGTGAGACTGAAATTCAGAGAAAGGCTGTGAATCTAAGAGGTGTTTTAAATAGAACTTGGTAAGTCAAAACGTTACTAATTCAGATAAATATTTATTGAGCACCTACTTGCAAGGCACTGTGTGAGATACAGACATGTAAGTCGGGCCTCTGAGTTACAGGTTGAGCAGGTAACACACACACGTAAATTACAGAGCGAGCCGTACAGCCTTATGGCAAGGAGATTTTGAAGGGAGCCCTGTATTCAAGACCTGACTTTCCTTGTACTAGCCGTTACGTTGGACAAGTTATTTAATCTCTTTAAACTTCAGTTTGCTCATCTGTAAATTGTGGGGAGTAACAGTACCTACTTCAGAGGGTTGTTGAAAGGACCAAATGATTTACTCCTTGCAAAACTCTCAGCTGAGTGCTTACTCCATAATAAGCGCTCAGTAAGTGCTAGCTACTAGTAGTAGTAAGAGATCTAGATGCTGGCACACAACAGGACAAGGTCAGTGCCCAAAATCCTCTGAGAGAGAGAGGGACTAACGGCTATAAAAAAAAGAACTTCTGGAAACAACAGTGCTGCTCTGACATAAGTGTGCCTTTCCTGTCCAGCTGTGGCCTCCAGTTATATAAAGTGCACTGATGCCTGGGGCTTCGGACAAGAGGTTTGTCTGAGGATTGCCTCCTAACCTTTGTCCCTAGTGTCTGACAAATGTCTTCAGGATGCTGACTCTTTAAAGTCACATTCTAATTTCTGGCATCCCACATCAACTCTGTAACACAGTGGGTGGACAGTGTTCCTTCAAACACTGTGGGTGCAGAGAGGCAGAAAAAGGAGAGGGGTAGCCAGCATAGGTGTGATGACCAGGTGATGGATTTAAGAGGGGGAAGACCTGTCTCGAGTTTTCGTGGAGGTCCTTGGACTAAAGCTTTCGCCTCACTCAGTCTATTCCCTGTTTGGCGTAACGCCGTTGATGCTGAATAACTGATGATTTAGAACTGAAGACTTTCCCACACACACTGCATTCAAACGGCTTCTCTCCTGTGTGAACTCTCTGGTGTCGCGTGAGCCGGCACCTCTGGCTGAAGGCTTTCCCACATTCGCTGCATTCGTATGGCTTGTCTCCAGTGTGAATCTTCTGGTGCTGAGTTAGGGAGGAGCGGTCAAAGAAAGCCTTCCCACACTCACTGCACTGGTAGCGAGGCTCTCCAGCATGGGCTTTCTGATGTCTGTTCAGTGACGAGACCCCATAGAAGGCTTTCCCACACTCATTACATTCATACGGCTTCCGGCCCGTGTGGATTAGCTGGTGTCGCGTAAGAATACTTTTCTGGCTAAAGGCTTTCCCGCACTGGTTACATTCATAAGGACTTTCTCCAGTATGGATCCTCTGGTGGCGGGTAAGGGATGAGCGGTCAAAGAAGGCTTTTCCACACTCGCTGCATTTGAAGGGTTTCTCTCCAGTATGAATTCGCTGATGTACAGTCAGGGACGAACGGTCGAAAAAAGCTTTCCCACAGGCGTTGCACTCGTAGGGGCTCTCTCCTGTGTGTGACATCAGGTGTCTACTGAGACTGCTCCTGTGGCTGAAGGCCTTCCCACACTCGGGACAGTCATAGGGCTTCTCACCAGTGTGAGTCCTCTGATGGCGGATGAGGGAGGAGTGGTCAAAAAAGGTCTTACCACAGTTGCTGCATTCCTGGTCTCTCTCTTTAGTGAGAATTTTCTTGGGAGGGGTTGCCCTGTGCCGCAAGCTTTCCTCCAGAGAAGGGGGTTTCTTGCAGGCCTCAACTGTAGGGCTTTCCTTCTCTGTTCCCAACCTGCCATCCAGTGCATAAACTTCGAGTTTAGGGGATGGAGGACCTTTTCTTCCAAGCTTTTCCTTCAATGATCCTTCTGATTTTTCTTCTTCTGAAGCACCTTGAATCTCAGGCTTAGTCTCCCAATCTGGAATGGATAGAAGATACAGATGAATGTTTCTTTCCTGGGTTAGGAAATGTTAGCACAGAAAGGAGGGATGCTGTAATAAATCTGAAAAGTAATGACAATCACTTTGCTTGCTCCCACAAATAGTATTGCACTCTAGGGAGAAACCAAGACCTGGGACTGAAACAGGGAATAGAACTGGTAGTGAAAAATCTCAAAAAAGAGGAGAATTTCCACTGGGAGCATAGCTGGATTAATTAGGAGTGTCAGGTAAGTGGAGGGGATGGTAAGGAATAGGAAAATCAAAGTTTGAATGGACAACATGACAAATCTGAGAAAGTAAACATTTGGTGAATGAAGGTGAAGAATATTTTAAGGTGTAGAGGGGGGGAAAAAGAAAACTGGGTGACAGAGAATAAACAATATAGTAGAAGACTTGAATTTGAGGAAAAATATGATACCCAATACTCCCTCCCACATGCACCTAAATAACAACCACAAAGCAAAACAAAACTCTCCTGCCAGTTCATACTCAATTACCTAAAGAGACATTCTCTGCACCTTCTTTCCCCTCAAATCCATGAAACTCCACTAGCCAAGGCTCATCCCCTCTCTTCAACTGAAAAATCACATCAGGTCCAGGTATTGGAAGTCCTGTTCGTAGAGAAAGAAACAAGCCAAGTGGTCGTATGTGATGAAAATACACAACGATTCCAAAGCAAATTCCAGCCTCTTAAGATTTCAGAGAGAAAATGCAAAAGGCAGGAAGTGCACACCAGGTATGCAGAAGTGCAGGAACCTCTGAATGGACGTCAAGACTGAGGTTCTAAAAGGGACAAGTAGCATCTAGTCAGAGTGGATAGACTCTATTTGAATTAATGTGTTTATTCTTCCCCATGAAGTGAGTGGGATGCTCCTAGCTCTAGCACTGGTAGGATGGCAGGAAGAGTCCTTATCTCAGGGAAGATGAGAATGAAAAAAGATTACCTTGAGTAAGAATGTGTAATGTAGGTGCCCATTTTTGCTTATTTATGCTTTAGTACAATTATTTTTGGACACAACTGTGCAACTAACATACACATATTAAGTATGATTTTACTTTAAACACGTCGATTGTTTTCATTGTAGGAAAACTAGAGGCATAGATAATAACAAAAATCATGTTTTGTATTTTGTATTCATCTCTTTCTTTCCATTCACTTTAATACAGAAAGATACCTATAGATACACTTTGTTAAAAACTGGGTAATGACCATTATATCTCAATTTTTGGGGGGGGAAAAAACTATTGGAGAGCATTATTTGGAAAATAAGGCTACCCCATCTAAAATAATTTCTATTTGATTTATTTTGATGTCTACAAATTGATAATTTCTAAATCCATCATGACTCACTGTATGTAATACACTCCAGACCCTTTTATATGTAAAAGATCATTTTAGGCAGAAGGCTGTCGATTAAAAACAAAAAACAAAAGTTAAAACTGGAGGGCTTCCCTGGTGGCTTAGATGGTTTAAAAAAATTGGATAATGAAATAATGCTGAATTGTAAACTTAATTTTTTTCACATAATAAATTTAAACTATTATTTTAATTAGCACAGCTCTGCCTCACCATTTAAAAATTTTTTAATTTATTTGTGGCTGTGCTGGGTCTGCATTGCTGTGTGGGCTTTTCTCTAGTTGTGGTGAGCCCTCTGTGGTGCAGGGCTAGGCTGCTCAGTGAGGGGGCCTGTGGTTGTCCAGTCTGCTTACAGCTCAAGGAGTAAGCCTGTCTCAGGCTGGGGTTCAGGATTAAGAAACCCACTGTCACTGTAACTGCTAAGTCACATCCCTCTGCTCGTGTCTTGTCTCTCAGGGGTTCCAACTCAGGTGGGAGAAGAAGAGGTGTCAATATATTAGCCTCTCAACTCCACATCAATTCAGTACAGGGTCTACTCCTGGTGGGAAGCTCTCCTTACCCAGTGAGACAATGCTCTTGTAGTTCTCCAGCATCACCTCCTTGTAGAGGTCCCTCTGAGTAGGGACCAGATGCCTCCACTCTTCATCTGTGAAAACTATGGCCACATCCTCGAATGTCACTGGGTCCTGGAAACACAATCATGTTCTCCCTTATTCATAATCCTTCTCTTACATGGACCAGACAAAACTGTTATATATGACAACAGCTTGGAGGATGCCAGGGGAGTGGAAAGAAAAGTGGAAATGGGAGTGGAAAGACAACAGTTTTGAGGTATTTGGGGAAAGTGCCATGAAGCCATGAGGCATGACTTTTTGGTCACAACCCCACACTACCTTTCTAGCTGAGCCTTGGAGTATCAGGGGCTCTTTTATCAGACTTACAGAAAACTTGGAAGAATAGAACAAAGACCCTTCATCCAGCATCCCCAAATGTTAACATTTTCCACACTGGTTTTATCTTTTGTCTCAGAATATACACATGTGCCTATCTTTTCTCCAAACTTCTTTAAAGTAACTTGTAAACATGATGTCTTTTTACTTATTAATGTTTCAGTGTATATTTTGTAAAAACAAGGGTTTTCTCTTGTATAATGACAGTATAATTGTAAAAATCAGGAGAGGAGTGATATTATCTAATCTATAAACTTAGTCCAATTTCACCAATTGTCTTGATGTGAGTGTGCGTACGTGTGCGTGCTCAGTCACGTCCAACTCTTTGTAACCCATGGAATGTAGCCTGCCAGGTTCCTCTGTCCATGGAATTTTCCAGGCAAGAATACTGGAGTGGGTGGCCATTTCCTCCTCCAGGGAATCTTCCCGACCCAAGGATTGAACCCAAATCTCCAGCATTGGCAGGTGGATTCTTTACCACTGAGCCATCTGGGAAGCCCTTATGTCTGTGTTTGCGTGGACAAAACCTTCAAATAGTGGTGTTGATTAGATCATCTCTAGGCTTTCTCTCAATTCACTCTGATGTTCTTTGATTCTGTAAGTTCCATCTTTATCCCCAAGTCTAAAACCCAGATGAGTCTCCAGAGTGTCTGCAGAGGTTCTAAGCCAGAGCTCAGAATTAAAAAAACCCTGCCCTGGGGCAGAAAGGGGGTAAGCTGTGTGTCTCTACCCTCACAAAAACTCTCTCTCCAGGACTCCTTCAACCTCACTGGTGCTTTATAGTATGTGTCACATTCTCTGCCTAACGCAACACTCCCTGGAATATGGGGGCCTACTTTCAGTCCATTTGTGGATGTACTAAAGGGAAATCAGAACTTGAAACTGCTTGCTGCTCCCTAGACCCTCTCATGACATCCCTACCATCAGTTTTAACGCAAAATCAAAGTGAAGGCAATGGAGGCTGTGTCCCTGGTGACAGGCTAGCGGGCACATATTCAAGGCAAGAAGGGGTCACTGAAAGATACCAACACAAGTCATTCCTTATGGAGTCCTTTTTCCACCTGGGTGGCTTTGAGCAGAGAACCCCCAAGACAGAAAGAAAAGTGGTTACATTCTGGAGCCTAATAGTTTCAGAAACACAAGAGTCTACCTCACCTGGCATCTGGTCAGAGACACAGCAGCCATTCCCTCCAGCGTGCTCTCCTTGCAGAGAAGAGCCGAGTCCTAATGAGGTAGAGAGGTGTGATGAGAAACAGGCTGTGAGAAAGACCAGTCTCGTTCAGCAGTTTTGTGACCCATGAAGCAAGAAATCTCCACACACCAGTGAGTTACGTACCCACCCTCATCCTCAATATCCTACACAAAGGGAGAGCAAAGAAAAGCAAGGCCAAGAGCAAGCCCACCCCATCCCAGAATTAGAGTGCACGGCTGTGCAGAATACAATGTGGTGCTTGTTTTTATCATGATCTTAGAGGTGAAGTTCTATTCCTGGCAGTTGAGAATATATTAAGGCTCATATTGCCTTTATAAATTCACATTAAATATTGTTCATCATGGGGCTTCCCAGGTGGCGCTAGTGGTAAAGAACCCACCTGTCAGTGCAGTAGATGTAAGAGATGTGGGTTCGACCCCTGGGTAGGGAAGATGCCCTGAAGGAGCAGGAAATGGCACCCCACTCCAGTATTCTTTCTTGGAGAATCCCATGGGTGGAGGAGCCTGGGGACTATACTCCATGAGGTTGCAAAGAGTCAGACATGACTGAGGATCTGGGATCAGATCAGATTGTTCATCATGATTACCAGACAAAAAGTATAAGAAGTTTTATGAATGGCTATATGGACAAGTCCTGTCAAGGAAACACCTACAGCCTCTTCAAAGGAAAAATACTCTATTCACAGCAACACCCGGTGCTAACAGAGCAACCCTGGGACAGCCACAGCTTGTTCCACATGACCCTGAGGCTCAAGCCTGGGGCCATGCTGATTAAGCCACAGGTGGGCAGTACAGAGGCTGACCCGTGGACTGATATGTGGTCTGGTTTCAAAAGATGACGTCCATCCTCAGGATCGTGAACTAAGAAATGCCAGGACCACAAGTTAGATGGGTGAGTGAATAACAAGCATCAATGAATACACTGCCTTGACTGCAGGACAGTACTCAGACACACCTTTCCCTCTTCCTTCTCAGGACCACACAATCCCCGCACCCCACTCATGAATCCCCCAAATGCTTGATCTGACTATGTCTTAATTAGACTCTTTATGTGAGAAACTGAGATATACTCAGTTAACTCAAGTAAAGTTTAATGACAAAGATTCACATAAAGCCTAAGGGGCTTTCCCAAAATAAAAGGAACCTAGTTCCACCTGTGGGCAATGAGCTGAAAGTGTATCATGAGGGATAGAAGTAGCCATGAGGGTCAGTAGCCAAAAGTACCAGGAGGCAGAATCCATGAGTGTGGGGGGCATGGGGTAGAGAACAGGCTGTAATAGACTAACAGGCAGGTATGTTGGTGGTGAAGTGCTGAAAGCAAAGCCCCAAGAATCCCTGGCCCCTGAAACCCTACTTCACCCCAGCATCAGCCCAGACCGCAGTTCGCATGTAGACTAGCTGTATTTATTTAGATTTCCATAAGGCTCTGACCCTACCAGAAGGGCTTCCCTGGTGGCTCAGCTGGTAAAGAATCCGCCTGCAATGTGGGAGACCTGGGTTCGATCCCTGGGTTGGGAAGATCCCCTGAAGAAGGGAAAGCCTACCCACTCCAGTGTTCTGGCCTGGAGAATTTGTAATTTGTATCAGGGGCCTTAAAACACATACTTTTGACCCAGCAACTTCCCCTTATGGAGTTATTCCTAAGGAAAAACATATGCAAAGCTTTTTATTAACTATCAGTAACGCTAACCTTTACTGAGTGCCATGAGGCAACGTCCTAAGCATTATATGTCATTTCATTTAATCTACAGAAGAGCAAAAAAAAGAAATTTTACTTATTTTTGGCTACACTGGGTCTTGGTTGCAGTGCATGAGCTTTCTCTAGCTGTGGCAAGTGGGGGCTACTCTTGTTGTGGAGTATGGGCTCTAGAGCTTGGGCTCAGTAGTTGTGCACAGGCTTAGTTGCCCCGTGGCATGTGAAACCTTCCTGAAGCAGGGATTGAACTGGTGTCCCCTGTGCTGCAAGGTGGAGTCTTAACCAGTGGACCACCAGGGAAGTCCCAGAAGAGCAAAAACTTGAAATATCTTAAGTTTCTAAAATACAGGATTTGATGCCATTTTGTGTATGGCCCAGTCCATACACACAATGGAATACCACTGATATGATCTTATTAATATGGTAATGTTATCATATTAAAATATTATTTTATGATATATTAGTAATAACTAGCATTTACTGAACTTTTGCTACTTATCAGGCACTATGCTAAGTACTCTCTACAAGAACAGTTGAATTCGTGTTCATAAATCAGTAAGGTGGGTACTATTTTACAGACTAGGAAATTTAGGCTTTGTAAGAGGCTGAGGCAGAATTTGAACCCAGGAACAACCAGCACTTTTTAATCTCTATGTTATAATGATTTATTTTCATGAAAAGATAGCCACGTAAAAAACAGACTGATAAACTAGAAAATCCCCAAACACATCCACGTAGGTAGGAAACCTTGATATGTGACTGAAGTGGCAACACAAATCTGAAGTGGGGAAAAGATCACTAGGGTAAACTATAAACAACTTGCATGTTCATTGATAGGATAAATTGCAATTTTATGTGTGTGTGTTTTTGAGAATTACACATTGATTAAGATACATGGCAAACAGAAGATGAAAAAAGCAGAAGCAATGACAGATTTTCTTTTCTTGGGCTCCAAAATCATTCTGGGTGGTGATGGCAGCCATGAAATTAAAAGATGCTTGCCCCTTGCAAGAAAAGCACAAACCTAGGCAGCATATTTAAAAAGGAAAGATATCACTTTGCCGACAAAGGTCTGTATAGTCAAAGCTATGTTTTTTCCAGTAGTCATGTATGGCTGTGACAGTTGGGCCATAAAGAAGTCTGAGCGCTGAAGAATTGATGCTTTCAAATTGTGGCGCTGGAGAAGACTCTTGAGAGTCCTTTGGACTGCAAGGAGATCTAACCAGTCAATCCTAAAGGAAATCAGTCCTGAATATTCATTGGAAGGACTGATGCTGAAGCTGAAGCTCCAGTACCTTAGCCACCTGATTCGAAGAACTGACTCGCTGGAAAAAAAACCCTGATGCTGAGAAAGATTGAGGGCAGGAGGAGAAGGTGGGTGACAGAAGGTGAGATGGTTGGATGATATCACTGACTCAGTGGACATGAGTTTGAGTGAACTTTGGGAGACAATGAAGTACAGGAAAGCCTGGTGTGCTGCAGTCCATGGGGTCACAAGAGAGTCAGACACACCCCGCACACACCTGAAACTGTATGCTTGAAAAATACCAAGGTATTTATGAGCTCTGATTCCAACAGTCCTCTTCTCCTTATTTCTCTGAAGCTTTTTGACTGTTTTGGCAAGTTTCTCATGCTGCCCAGCGCTCAGACTGTGTACAGTGTTCTTGCTGTCTCGCAGAAAGTCCATCCACACCTGATGCTCCATTTTCCACCTCTACAGAAATGCTTCTTGAATCTAGTCCCACTCCCTCTTCCAAACTCATCCTGCATTTCCAAATGACTAAGTATTTTGAGTTAGGCATTCTGTCAGCATCTTAAAACCATCTATTCCCATGCAGTTCCCCACATCAATTCCTTTCCCTGCCCTTACAGTTCTCCTTGTTATTTAGTCAATAAGCTGTGTCTAATTCTTGGTGACCCCATGGACTATAGTCTGCCAGGCTCCTCTGTCCATGGGATTGTGCAGGCAAGAATACTGGAGTGGGTTGCCAATTCTTCCTCCAGGGGATCTTCCCAACCCAGGGATTGAACCTGTGTCTTCTGTGTTGGCAGGCAGATTCATTACTGCTGAGCCACAAGGAAGCCCTTACACTTACAGCATATGTTTTGTTATTTTCCCAGCTGCCCCAAATTCAAACTCTTTCCTGGCTCTCTTACCTCCCAAATCTAGTTAGTCACCAGGTCCTTCGGACTCCTGTTTTGCAATGTCATTTATATCTCTCCCTACCACTGACACCATCATAATTCAGGCTCATGACAGCTTGATTCAGGAATATGACTACTACCAAGCATTCCTGACTGGCTCCCTACACTAGTCCCTTCCCCTCTCTAGTTCTGAATGTGACCTCTAGAATAAAAGCACCAAAATTAGCTTTATTCCTGTCAACCCCTGATCCGCCCCATACAATCCATCCTTCTGACCGTGTCTTGTCCTGATGCTCTATGCCCTGACCACAGTGTGCTTTTCCCCATCCTTGTCTCCCACTATTCTTCGACGCTTCACTCTTATAAAAAGCATTTCCTTCTCAAATCTGCCTATCACTTCGCTACTTCTTTCGTATTTTTTTTCCCCCACATCAAGTCCTACCTCCCCCACGAAGGCCCCCTAATCACTCGTACGGAGGTCTAGGGAGGGGAGCTAAACGAGACAATCTGAGGCGCTTTTTGGAAAAGAGAGGAACTGGAGTGGGCAGAACCCTAGATTTAGTGTCAATTCCACCCACGTTTATTAAGCAATTGTTATGAGAAGAAGGTACCGGAGGGGCGAAGGAAGCCTCCAAACTTCCAACGGCAGAGCTGGGATCTGACAAATAATGGGGGCACGCCGAAAGGCCACTGCTAACAGTGCCCACATGGAACACACACACTGGGATGCGGGTACAACTTTGCTAGTCCGCACCTGTCCGAGCAGGGACGTCGCCGCGCGCACAACACACACAAACACACACACGCATTCTGCAGGCGGGCTCCGCCCGCTTCACCCCTTCCACTCCTACTGCACCTCCCCCAAGTTCTCAGTATCCCACTCCCTCTGCCGCTGCGCTCTCTCCGCGGCTCAACGGTACACACCCGCAGCTCTCACCTCCTGCATAGACTGCTCGGGACCCAGGAAGACGGCGCCTCTTCGGGTCGGGAGAGCAGTGCGCCTGCGCAGAGTTCTGACGCCCACGCTCCCAACCTTAGCCTGGCCTTGGCCGACTCCATTTCCCAGAAGTCTCAGCGGTGGGAGCGCTTTAATATGACCTCTAAAGATCTGCGCAAGCGTACCCGTGTGAGACGAGTTGGCGGCGCTGGACCGAATCCTACATGCTAGGGCGGCAGCTTGATCGTGAAAAAGCAACCGGTCGTGGATGCTTGTGAGGCTGTGTTCCCCTTGGAAGTACTGCTTATGTGTGATGCCACGTCCCTCCGGTCCTCCGATGGGAGGACCGTCCTAAGGAAATATGTCTCTCTCAGCCTTGGGACTCACCCCTCCTGAGGACTTATAGTCTTCTGACCCTCCGAATGGCCTTGTTTCTGCTTCAGGTTGTTTGTTAACTGTTGGTTGTAAAGTTTGGGCAGGAAAGAAGCAGAGTTTGGGTCTGAGGATGGGGCTGTGCATGTGCACATTTTTCTGCTTAAGAGAGAATGTTCTGCCCATAGTCCAAGTCCCCGGTCAGGAAAGAAGACTCCTCGAAACAATACAACTTGTAATAGGGGAATTTATTACTGACTCGAGCCAGGGCCTCCCGCCCTCACCAAGGGTGTGAGGATGAAAAGGCCCCGAGCCCCAGTTCTCTCGGGTATTTATTAGGTCAAAAAAAGCAGCAGGTAGTTGGTGCAAGCGGATTGGTTACACAGTTGCAAGGCAATTTTTATTGGCCCAACTGTGGGGCTTTCAGCTTTCCCCTGATAGGTTCCCTTTTTCTTGCTAGGCACATGTTGATTGGCTAGCTCCAGGAGGCCTGATAATTATGTTACCCCGGGAAACTAGGCCCACTCCTAATCTAGGCTGCCTGTCGTGGCGTTAGCCGTGACAGCCTCACATTTCCCCCGTCTTTGTACTTTTGTAGAGGAATCCTTCTCTTAACCCTGTGAAATTGACTGATATTGTTGTCTCAATACCATAATTTGGATGGTATTTAGGCGCTCCCTAATAAATGAGACCAGACGGTGTAAAATGCATGGACCAAAGGTCAGTAACAATATTAATATTATGAGTGGACCCAGGAGGGTGGAAATCAAAGTGGTCAACCAGGGGGAGCACTGAAACCAAGATCAAACCAGCCTTGTTGGGCTTCTCGTTTTCTCTTCCGCTGGGCTAGTCCCTCTCCTACTTTCTGGAGAGATTTTTGTACCACCCCTGAATGGTCGATATAGAAACAGCATTCTTCTCCCAGTGCTGCACATAATCCTCCTTGTTGCAGAAACAACAAATCAAAACCTCTCCTATTCTGTAACACTACTTCAGCCAAGGAGCTCAAGGATTCTTGGCAGTTGGTGGGGACCAAACCCACTACCGTCAGCCGCCAGCATGCACAAATCAAAGGTCAGTACTGGCCACCATGTCCCTTTGGGGGCCACGTTGGAGCTAGAATTAAGCATTTCTCCAGTCTCAGGATTGTAGATCACCCAAGTCAGGTTAGCCGGCTGATGGGGGTTGTGGCTGGTTGCTCCTGGGCCGATGAAAACTGTTACCAGCAGGAGAGTTAAGAGGGCTCTCGTTGTACGAGTTTCAGTTTCAAAGGATTTGACAGGTGAAGTCTTGCCTCTCATTCTGCTTGCGCTTTCTCCTGCTCTTCGGGGGTGGCTTGCCGCACGTGATTGTAGTGAACCTAGGGCCCGATCCCGTCGACCTTAACAGCAGTAGGAGTGGTAAGGAGAACAACATAAGGGCCTTTCCATCTAGGTTCTAATGCTTTAGATTGGTGTCGTTTTACCCAAACCCAATCACCCGGGCCAATATTATGTGAGGGGATGGTCCCCTTGCTTGTTCCCTCGTGTATCTCTTGAATTAATTTCCAAACATGGCTATGCACCTTACTTAATGCCATCAGTGTTTGCTGGAATTGTCTCAAGGTAGGGGGTGGTAGGCATTTTCCCTCGAATATAGGACACACAGGAGGGGGTCTTCCATACAGAATCTCAAAAGGGGTAAGATTCAGCTTATAAGGGGTGTTACGCGCTCGAAGGAGCGTGAAGGAAAGGAGGGTCACTTAGTCCCCGCCAGTCTCTATTGTCAACTTTGTCAAAGTTTCTTTTAGGGTCCAATTCATTTTCTCAACCTGTCCTGAGCTCTGGGGATTATATTTACAATGTAACTTCTATTTTGTCCCCAGAGCTTGGTCCAGCCCTTGTACAATCTGGCTCACAAAGGCAGGTCCGTTATCAGAGCCCATAGTCACTGGCAGCCCGTACCTAGGCACTATTTCCTCTAAGATCTTTTTAGCAACCACTATGGCTGTCTCTCCCTTAGTGGGGAAAGCTTCCACCCACCCCGAGAAGGTATCTACCAGAACCAACAGATAGCGATACCCATACTTCCCTGGCCTTACCTCAGTAAAGTCTATCTCCCAGTGTTGCCCGGGCCCCTCCCCCCGGTACCTCACTCCTGAGTGTTGCTTCTTCTCTGTTCTCATTAACTGGCACGCTTTACAGGCTTGAATTATCTCTCGTACAGTTGCCTTTTGTCGGGGGAACCTCAGGCAGGCCGTCTGGAGAAGTGTCAAAGTCTTTTTCTCTCCCAAATGTGTGGTTGCGTGTAGGTGTTCACACAAATGACGACCCAGGGTGGCAGGCAATATCAGGTTGCTGTCTTGGTCCCGGTACCATCCATCTTTCTCATCCTTCTGGAGGGTGGTGTCCTTAGTGATCCAGTCGAGATCAGGGTGGGAGTACTCGGGAATTGGTGGCAAGGCCCCCATACCGGGAGGGGGAAGTTCCACAGTCAATATGGGGGCGACATAGTCTTGGCTGGCTGCCCTCCGAGCGGCCGCATCAGCCGCCCGATTACCTCTTGCCTTTGGGTCTTCCCCTTTTTGGTGCCCGGGAACGTGCACTATAGCTACTGCTCGGGGCAATTGGACAGCTTCTAGGAGCCTGCGAATCTCAGGCAAATTCTTGACTTCTTTTCCCTCAGCTGTCCGAAATCCCCTTTCTTGATATATGGGGCCCTGGATGTGGACAGTGCTGAAGGCGTATCGACTGTCCGTGAAAATGGTGACTCTTTTCCCTTTCGCTCGCTCTAGAGCTTGTATTAGGGCAAGCAATTCGGCTTTCTGTGCAGAAGTATTTGGGGGGAGTGTTTCAGCCCATATCGTCTGCCCAGACTCATCAACTATGGCGGCCCCCGATTTTCTTTGCCCGTCTTTGACATAACTGCTCCCATCGGTGAACCATACCAGCTCACTGTTGCTTAGTGGCACATCAGTTAAGTCTTTTCGTGCCGCCAGGGCCTCAGCCAGTATCTCACTACACTCATGGAGAGGGTGGCCTTTCTCTGGGTTAGGTAGGAGCGTGGCTGGATTCAGGAAGCAGGGGGTCTGAAAACGCACCCGTGGGGCATCGAGCAGCAGGGCCTGGTAATGTNCAGACCTGCCTGAGCACCGGTGCTATTACCTGTCCTTTTTCCCCTTTGTTCCAAAGAGCGTTCTTCCCTGGTCAAGGGATCCCGGACGAGCCCCCAAATGTTCTGCCCATAGTCCGAGTCCCCGGTTGGGAAAGAAGACTCCTCGAAACAATGCAACTTGTAATAGGGGAATTTATTACTGACTCGAGCCAGGGCCTCCCGCCCTCACCAAGGGTGTGAGGACGAAAAGGCCCCGAGCCCCAGTTCTCTCGGGTATTTATTAGGTCAAAAAAAGCAGCAGGTAGTTGGCGCAAGCGGATTGGTTACACAGTTGCAAGGCAATTTTTGTTGGCCCAACATGGGGCTTTCAGCTTTCCCCTGATAGGTTCCCTTTTTCTTGCTAGGCACATGTTGATTGGCTAGCTCCAGGAGAAAGGCCTGATAATTATGTTACCCCAGGAAACTAGGCCCACTCCTAATCTAGGCTGCCTGTCATGGTGTTAGCCGTGACAGCCTCACAAGAAGAACCCAGGATATATGTGTATTTGATTGGGCAGCAGTGCGGACTCCGACATTTTGAGCATACAAGAGCCTGCCTTCCATGGTACTACTGGAAGGACCCTCGTTGGAGACATTGTAGGGATTCTCAACCGTAGCTGCATGCCAGAATCACCTGACGAGCTTTAACATATTGATGCCCGGGACTCCCTCTGAGGAGTGAGAGTTTGAAAAGATCTGCAAGTGATCCTCAGTTCAGTTCAGTTGCCCAGTCAAGTCTGACTCTTTGCGACCCCATGGACTGCAGCACACCAGGCTTCCCTGTCCATCATCAACTCCCAGAGTTTACTCAGATTCATGTCCACCCAGTCGGTGATGCCATCCAACCATCTCATCCTCTCCTCCCCTTCTCCTCCTGCTTTCACTCTTTCCCAGCATCAGGGTCTTTTCCAATCAGTCAGTTCTTTGCATCAGGTGGCCAAAGTATTGAAGTTTCAACTTCAGCATCAGTCCTTCCAATGAATATTCAGGACTGATTTCCTTTAGGATTGACTGGTTGGATTTCTTTGTAGTCCAAGGGACTCTCAAGAGTCTTCTCCAACACCACAGTTCAAAAGCATCAATACTTCGGCGCTCAACTTTCTTTACAGTCCAGCTCTCACATCCATACATAACCACTGGAAAAACCATAGCCTTGACTAGATGGACCTTTGTTGGTAAAGTAATGTCTCTGCTTTTTAATATGCTGTCTAGGTNTGAAGCAGTTCAATTTCTGGTTATGTCAGCCACCATTGAGAGGACACTCTTCTCATGTGTTCATACCCTCACCTTTTTTGGTTCCAGAGCATAGAAGAGAACAGAAACTTCTGTGCCAGCCATGGTTTCCAGGCAGCCCTGCCCGCCTTTCCTCACTCTGGCTCCGGAGAAGGAGGGCTTACTTGCTGGCACTTGCTGAACCATCTTGGCCATCTGTGTCACCAGAAGTGCTGGCAGAAAGGCGAAACATTAAAAGAGCAAGAACGGAGAAAAGGCCTTTTGCCTCGATAGGTTATTTGTCCCAACTGTAGGGTGTAGTTAGAGACGAGGCAGTGAAGAAAGGAAGGCGACCTCAACGGAGACAGGTTACCATTATTCAGGCTAGGAGGGGCGGCAGTCGGTCTAACGACCAGGCTGAGCGTGTGCAGGATCAGGGAGGCTTCATATTTAAGGGGAGGTTTTGCAGAAGCGATATGCGAAGATTTAGTCAGGCGGATGAACAGGGGTGGGAGGTCCCGGGAGGACGCAGTCTGCCCGGAGTATCGGGGTGGGACTTAAAGTTGAGTTTTGTCAGTAAAGTCAGGTGGTTCAGCGAGGGCCCTTGAGGTCTTTATCTTCTTTTCTAGGCCCGAGGACTCCTTCACCAACCTCTCAGTCCTCAAAAGTCTCCTCTCTGGTTGAAGAGTGCCTCCGGAGAACCATCGTTTTAATATCCAGATCATTTCTCTCTTTCTTTTAGGTCTGAAATGATCCTCGCTTCTAGAGGAGGAAGGAGTCCAAAGTCCTCTCTTTGAGTTCACCCTTCGCTGAACTTAAACTTGGGGGGAGGCGGGCGGGGAGCAGTGGGAGAAAGACGGAGAGGTAGGGAACAGACTGTCAGGATCTCCTGGACACTTTATAAGAAATTCACATGTCCGGAGAGCCTCCTAGAAATTCTTATTTGTCAGGTTCGGGGTTTAGGCCAGGATTCTTTTCTTTTTTTAAACTCCAGTGGCTTCTGTTGAACTGCTCCAAACCCGGCTGTTGGGCCCAGTTACTAAAGGCACTTCCAATACGGAGGTTGCTTCCGGGGGTGGGGGGGGGCAGAGTGAAACCTCTGTCCAGGTAGCTGGTGCGCACTTGCCCAGCCTGCAATCGCCAGAGCAGAGCACCCAAGGTCCCCAAGCCGCCAGTGCGCAGGCGCCGCTCGTTCGACGCCCCCCACCCCTCACCTCCGCAGACCCGCCTCCGACGCTTGTTCTGGGGACCCCAGCGTGCCGGCCTTCCTCTCGCGCAGGCTCAGGACGGGTCTCGCGAGGCGGGGCTGGAAACTGGGTGTTGCTTGGATCTCTGTGGGTTCAGCTACTCCTGGTGCGCAGGCCAGCCATGGGCATTGCGCCCTGAGCCAGAGAAAGTGCGAAGTGTCTGTCCGTCTGCCCTCCTGCGAGAGGCCTGGAACTGGGCGCAGAGTTGCAGGGCCGATCGGTTCCCTGTGAGCTCTCCAGAAGCGATTCTAGACGAGGGCGGGGCACCGAGATCTCAGGTGTGGCTGTGGCCATTTCCTGGTGGTCTCCGTGGGAGCTGGGTCCTAGAGTTCGGTCTCCAGAAGGAGGCGGCGGCCGGTCCTCTGAGGTGCCTGGGAGTGCAAGAGGGGATAGAGCATCGCTTCCCGCAGCCACAGCCGCCTTGCGCTCAGCTGGGACGCCAGTCCGGGTTTGACAGCCCTGCTCTGGCTCCTGCGGATCGGCTGGGCGTTGCTGCGCGAAGTGGGGATGCCCGGTGTCATCCGGCTCGCTCCCCGCTCCCTGAGCCCCGGGAGGATCGCAGGGCCGCCGCCGAGTGACAGAGATTTGGACCTAGTGAAAGGACTAGCCCCAGCTATGGACTCCAGAGCTTCAGGTTTGGCTCTCGGTGCCGCGGGCCGGAACTCTCCTGGGGAGTTAGTGCTGGTCTAGGAGGAGAAGGAGAACCATGGGGTGGGGGCAGGGAGCCCACTGGCGGGCAGAGCCTGTCCTTGGGATTTCCCAGGCAAGGATATTGGAGTGGGTTGCCATTTCCTTCTCCGGACCCAGGGGTTGAACCCGAGTCTCCTGCATTAGCAGGCGGATTCTTTAGCACTGAACCACCTGGGAAGCCCTGGCCTTATAATAAAACGGCTCTTAAAAGACGCTTCAGAGACCTAATGACGCTTTAAAACACTCAGGATAGCTCTCAGGAAGCCCTGGCCTCTGCACTACTTCCCAAGGAGAAGGGTAGAGGTGTGACTTCCGCAAAGTCCCATGTCTTTATGTGGTCTTGTCCTAGGCCTTATTTTGTCTTGTTAACCTGTCTTATTCCCTCAGGTGACATTTAAAGTTCCTTGAAGTTCTTCTCCATGTTTGTATTTTCAAAAGGCCTAATATAGGACCTGCATATTGGAGGCCCATTGACCACAAAGGAGTGGCCAGACTGTGGTCCCCCTCCGGCAACCTGCAGCTTGTTGTGGCCTGTGGACAAGTGGGGGCCTCACGCAGCAGTGAGCACAGGCAGCCTGTGGCCTGTCCCCCAGCCGCCTTAGGTCCAGCCTTATCCCCGGAAACCACGGGGGCGACGCGCTGGCCTGGGGAGTCTGGGGGCTGTAAATCTCATGGGGGCTAGCCTTCCTCATGGCTCCTTTTACCTTCCTAGTTCTCCCTTCTCGGGAGCCTGCTTTTCCTCCAGAGAGATGCCTGGGAGAAAAGGGAACAGCCAGCTTATTCCTGAAAGCCAGACCTCAGGTGAGTTGGGGTTCTCTTTAAGTTTCTCTCAAATGCCTGAACTATGGAGAGTTCTGCCTCCTTTTCTCTGGAGCCTCCTCGTTTGCCAGAGGGACCTGGCCCCAGTTCCTGCTCTGCAGGAGGCTGAGCCCATCAAGGCTGTTGCTGGCCTCCTTGCCCCAGGGCCCTCTGCCCAGGGAGACTGGGCCCCTGTGCACGAGTTGTCTTCCTGGATTAGTGTGGGGATGCACTGAAGACCCTGCCTTGGGACTGGGGGGCCTTTCATGTGTCCTGGTTTTGCTGTCTGGGTGCAGCTCCCAGTCCAGTGTTCTTGGCTCTTGGCTCTGCCCTCCAGAAGTGCCTTCATTTTGCAGTATCTCCCTTGGTTGCATATGAAGATGATACTGGAGAATAAACTTTTTTTTGAGGGCTAAGCAGCTTTTTTATCCTGAGTAGTTTGATGGCCCAAAGATTGTTTCAAGTCTTGCACCTTAAGTGTGACTCTTAAAAACCTGACCAGCTTTTTGTGCATTTGCTTCCATTAGCTCCGTATATATTAGCTTTCCCCACAGTTGTTATTGAAATATGCTCCTCTCTTTAGACTTAATTGTGGAGCTTCTGGCAAAATCTTACTTTTAGTCACTCTGACAAATTTGGTCCCACTGAGAGGATTTACTGGGAGCCATCTGAAATTATTAAGAGGCTTAAACAAAAGGTCTGACAATCACACTCATGACTTAGTCCTTGCCATTAGGCTGGGTTTTAATCATCTTTTGTTATGCAAAAGCTGTATGTATTTTGTCTTTGACCAGTTGGAAATGAGAATTCATTAAATCTCCAACCTTGCAAGTCCTGGTATTTCTGGGACACTTTCTTCTTCTTCTTTTAAAACATTAAAAAAAAATTTTTTTTTTTTTTTGGCTATGCCATGTGGCATGTGGGATCTTAGTTCCTCAACCAGGGATTGAACCCACTTCCCCTGAATTGGAAGCCCAGAGTCTTAACCACTGGACAGCCAGGGAAGTCCCTCTGGACACTTTCTCTTTGCCTTAGATTTTTATCTTGCAAATCAGCGAACTCTTAGACTAATTTGTGTGTGTGTGTGTGTGTGTGTCATACTTTTGTCAAATGTAGCCAGTGACAACCAGCTCATACTATTGATGTTTCCTTCGTCTCATCACAGCACCAGCTCATCTTGCATTGTTCCTCTTTCAAGTTATTGCATCAAGTGTTACCACACAGTTCACCACCAAATTACATGGGTTGTTGTTTTGCCAATGTTTTCTACTGCCCGGCCCTGAAGCCACTATCACATATTTTGGGCTATTTTATTATGGCAGAACTTCACCTGGAGTACCAGCTCTTTTAATGAGTCAGTTGAGGCTAGTTATGCTGTGATAACAACAGCAAATCCTGAGAGGCTTACAGCAACAACGGTTTGTTTCTTGTCCATGTTACATGCAAGCTATGGTTTTGCCCCACATCTTCACTCTGGGATCATTTGCCATTCTCAGAGCAGCAATTGTCGAAGCTGACTGTGAAAGCTTTTGCTCATAAGTAGCTCATGTCACTTGCTTCACATTCCAAATGTGAAAGTGAATGATTTGACTACACCTGAGTCAGTGGGGTAGGAAAACCAATTCTGTAGGGAGGGCCAATGAATATTTTGCACAAATAGTACAATCTATCATTTGGGCCCCTAAGGTAGTGAGTTTTCCACATTTGATTATTTTAGACTGCCTTTAATATAAAATTATTAGTTTGGCTTATTCTGTGGAATCAGTATCTAAATGGGATTTGACTTTTAAACATTTTGAGGGTAAAGTAAAAGGCGTTTATACTACCTTCGCTTATTTGCTTTTTAGTTCATAGTTTATGGCTTATTGTACAATGTAAGTTGAGTATTGTTGTTATAGAGGCTGACAGGATAGTTCTGGCTGGGACCCATAGAATGGTTATACCTTGTGAGGCCCTGAGATCTGGGGTTCTCACTCTCAACTTTACACATTTAGGAACTGAAAAATGATTAGGCTTTTTGGGGAGATAATTTATATTAATCAGACTCACAAAAGACTTACTAATTCACTGTAAGGCCACTTGACATCCTTTCACTGAACTGTGTGCTGGCAGCTGTTAGGGGATACGTTGTTCTAAACCCCAAATGATTTTATTTGGCCTTAGTAAGAATTATCATCAAAATCCTAGGCCACAAGTTTCAAAAATACTTAATTAGAAGACTATTGACACTATGATATTCTCAGAATGCAGAGTTTATCAGTTTGTTATTTTTAATAGATTCTATTTAAATGTCACTAAATTATAAGTCATTCTGAAACCTGAGGAAATGGATTGTATATATTTCTGTCACGTAAGTGGAGTGTCTCTAAAGGTTTGATTCTCCTGAGGCCCTGATTATATTTCTAAGCAGTTTGATGTTGAGATCTGTGGGTACTGCATGGGATATCGAGTAGTAAGGATGACATAGTCCCTGGAGCAGCTTAAAATATTTTTCAGATGATAAAACCTGGCATTGCGATAGCCGGGAACTCTTGGAATCCCTTCTTGTACACCCTAAGGTTCTATTCAGACACCTGTCTCCTCTTCTCCCAGGGCCATGAGTGTGCTCCCCGAGTGTGCAAGATTGTCTTCTGTGTTTCAGGACCTGTTGACATTTGAGGATGTGGCTGTGGAATTCACCTGGTGGGAGTGGGGTCAGTTGGACCCTGCTCAGAAGGACCTGTACTGGGAGGTGATGCTGGAGAATTTCAAGAACCTGGCCTCCCTGGGTAAGCTCAGCTCCTCCAAGGCCCAGAGCCTGACCATCAGGCCATCTTTAGTTCCTTGGTGTTAAAAGCTAGGGTGTCTGGGCCTGTTGGCTGACTTTTGCCCTGAAATTCCAGAATTAGACATTTATTTTCTCTTGGGGGCCAGGAGATTCAGTATTTCTCCTTGTTCCTAGGAAAGTCCTGCTGTATGCGAGATCAGAGTAAGAAGCTTCATGACTTCACCATGCTTAGTTGCAGGCTGTCCACAAGCCTTGGCCTCTTCTATACCCATACCATGATTCTTTTCCTTCTCTACCACCAGGGTTTCCAGTGTCCAAACCATATATGATCCGCCAGTTGGAGGAAGGGGAAGAGCCCTGTATTTTAGAGAGAGAAATCTCAACAGGTGTTCACTCAGGTGAGAGTCAGGCCAAAACAACAGTACACATCATAAGGGCCAACTGTGACTGGAAAGTTCCTTTAAACCCTTGGTCAGGGGCCTCTTCTTTGAGAAGGTGCGGTCACTTACCAGGAGGCCTTTTCTTTGAGAAGGTGAAGTCACTTGCCAAGAGCCCTCCACTCCAGTCTTTTGAATACTTGTAGGCTTCCATAATGTTTTCTAGTATGAAAAGATGTTCATTTTCTTCTCTAGTGTTTATGTGTCCTTTGTTTATTTCTTGCGAGTAATGTGGATAAGAAATAAACATCTGCCCATCTCTACCCACCCTTCAGGGTCCTTGGGACTATGCGTCATCACTAGATGTCACACGATCAGTGTTAGATGGAATCTAAGGACCAATAGTTGTTAAGTCCTGTATCAGCAGGGATAACAGAGTTAGCAGCAGATCAAACAGAACAGTTAAGTAGCCCAGAAATTAAAGGGCTACTGGCAAGGACATCCTGACAGATGACATCAGGAAGACCAAGGTGAGGACACTTCAGGCTTGGTTGAGTTGTAACTACAACAGAGGGGGTTCTAAGAACAAAGACCACTTCTTACCAGCTCTTGATGGCATCTCTTTGAATTCCTAGGTGACTTGAGACCTTGGGGTGGTAGGCTCCACCCCTTGGGGCAAAATTCTGGACACAAAGCTCTCCTGCCTGCCATGTGCAGCCCAAGCATACTGCAGGAGGTGACAGTCTGTATCCATGTCCATCTCTGAAACAGAATCAGCCTCAGGCCAGAGCTGAAGCTCCCCAAAGCAGGGTCAAATCCTGAGAGTGCAGGCTGGGCCTCAAGACTGTCCAGAAGAGGAGAGACAGGGAAGATGCTGATCTCTGTATTGGTACTCTCTTGATCATGTTTCCTTCCAGAATGAGGGCAAGGGTGTGACATCTGGATCTAGTCTCATCATCAGTATCTGTCTGTTTATAGTGTTCTACAAATATGGTGTGTTTCAGAACCTCTACGGGAGCTTGTTAAACGTTCAGGTCCTCAGGACCCCACAAGACCGACTGGCTCAAAATCTGGCCTGTGGGGGCCCTGCTTAGGCACTGACAGTCATTTCTCTCTTCAGAAGGGTCACTGTTATCACATTAGCTTTCTATTGTTGCTGAAACAAATTGTCACAGACTTAGTGGCTTTGATCAACACAAGTTTATTATCTCATAGTTCACAACTCAGAATCAAGTATTGGTCTCACACTGTTGAAACCAAGATATCAGCATGGCCGAGTTCCTTTCTGGAGTGTCTAGGGACAGTCTATTTCCTGTTCATCTCTGTTGTTGGCGGAACCAATTCGTGACAAGGATCAGACTGAGTTTCTTGTTTTCTTGCTGGCTATAAACTGAGGAGCATTCCCAGCTTCTAAAGACTGCTACATTACTTGGCCCATGGGGCCCTTCCTCCATCTTCAGAGCCAGAAGTGATGGGTCAAATCTTTCTCACACTACATCGCTCTGACTCAGCCAGGAACTGGTCTCTGATTTTGAGAACTCATGTGATTAGACTGGGCCCACCTAAATGACTCATGATAATCTCCCAGCCTCAGGGTCTGTGCCCTTAATCATATCTGCAAAGTCTCTTCTGCCATGTAAAGTAACATGTTTATGTGTTCCTGGGATTTGAATATATAAATATGTTCAGATGGACTTGGACATCTTTGGGGGATAATTATTCTGCTGTCACAGTTACATGCAATAATAGATGTTAAATGTATACAGTATTTATATTATAATATGTACATAATACGTAATAATGTGTGGTGTGGACTGAGGTGTTGAGGGAAGATTTTGTGGAGGGCATCTTCCTATCCTCCTCTCATCTTTACAGTCTTTGGATTTACCTTGTGTTACTGTTGTTCAGTAGCTAAGTCATGTCCGACTGCAACCCCATGGACTATAGCCGTCAAGGCTCCTCTCTGTCCATGGGATTTCCCAGGCAAGAATACTGGAGTGAGTTGCCATTTCCTTCTCCAGAGGACCTTCCTGCCCAGGGATTGAACCTGCATCTCCTTCACTTCAGGCTGATTCTTTACCACTGAGCCACCAGGGAAGCCCTTACCTTGTGTACTGGAGTCCCAACGCTGTTCTCTCAGGTTTTTCTAATCTCAAGTTACCTGCTTATCTTATTCCTGGCACTTCCAAAATGTTCTTCAGACATACACCATTCTTGGAAGAGACTGTACACCTCTTTTAGCTATTATTTTAAAGGTTAATTATCTTACATCTATCATAGGGCTTTACTTCCTCTTGGCACATAGAACAGGTAATACCAGCCTGTCTTTTTTGTTTTTTCCAGACTGGGAGAGAAGGCCTCAAGCCAAGGAAGCTATGCTAAGTCAAGGACTTTCCAAAGAAGAATTATTGCAGAGAGCATCAGTGGAGAAACATATTAGAGATGAACTCAGGTCCTCCAAACTGAAAGCAACCTGTGGTTGGGATGACCAGGTAGAGATGCATCCAAAAAAACAGGAGAGATATCTGAAAGAAATGTCACTCACTCACAAACCTCCTCCCACCCTTAAGAGAGGTCATGAATGGAGTGAATTTGGGACCGGTTCAGGTTTAAGATCAGTCCCTATTAACCAACACTGTGTTCCCACAGGAGAAGGATACTATAAATGTGATACAGCATTCAGACAGACTTCAGGGAGAAGTAACTCTCGGAGAACTCAACCAGGGAAGAAATCTTGCAAATGCAATGGATGTGGGAAGTTGTTCCATTTCCAGTCAGAACTTCGGCGCCATCAGAGATGTCACACTGGGGAAAAGCCGTATGAGTGCAGTGAATGTGGGAGAGCCTTTGGCCATATTTCATCCCTTATTAAACATCAGAGAACTCACACTGGGGAAAAGCCCTATGAATGCAGAGAATGTGGGAGAGCCTTCAGCCAGAGCTCCTCTCTCATTGTACACCACAGATTTCATACAGGAGAGAAACCCTACAAATGTAATAGGTGTGGGAGAGCCTTCAGCCAGAGCTCATCTCTCACTCAGCATTACAGACACCATACTGGAGAGAAGCCCTACAAATGTAATGAGTGTGGAAGAGCCTTTGCTCACACTGCCTCCCTTATTAAACATCAGAAAAGTCATGCTGGGGAAAAAACCCTATGAATTCAGCCGATGCAGGAAGGTTTTCAGCTGGAAAACATACACCACTAAACCTCAGAGGATATACTGAATTATATATTAGAAAGAGATCCTAGGAGTGCAGCGAATGTGGGAAGACCTTTGGTCAGAGGACACATTTTGCTCAACATCAGACAGGACACACCAAACTGAAGCTCTATTAAGAGGAGGTGGGCTTTCATCATACCACCTCCCTTATCAAACACAAGAGAATTCAAACCAGTAAGAAACTATGTGAATATAATGGATTTGGAAAGGCTTTAGTTAGTGGGTCACACATTCAACATCAGTTTATTATTTTTAAGATTTTTTTTTGGATATGAACCATTTTTGGAGTCTTTATTGAATTTGTTACACTATTGTTTCTGTTTTATGTTTTNCCCCCCAGTGTCCTTCTCTAACCCTCATTCAGGTCACTTTATATGCCTGGATGCCTGCAACTTTGTAGCTGGTTTTTGCCTAACATAGTCCCTTTCTCTTGTGTATCTCTGGCCATGTTAATCATTCTCATCAGTGGGCATCTATCCTGCCTCCCCGTTCTGCCCCCAAAGCCTGTTTTGCCTATAGGATAAAGGCTCACCTCTCAGTTTGACATTCAATGCCCTCTTCAATCTGCCCTAACCTCCTGCTGTTCCTGACAAGAAGCTCCATTTCAGACAAAGTAGCTTGCTTGCCACACCTCAAACATGTGTCCACACTTCCCAGCCTGGGCTGTTCTGCCTAAGCTGTTCCACCAGCCTGGAATGCGCTCTCCACTGTCTAAAGCCTGGTGATCAGTCAGAACCCTATTCAAATGTCCCTTCATTGGCAAAGAATTCTCTTGAATACCAATGGGAATTCTCTTACTCATTTCCAATTGTAAAAGCATCTATTTTTCCATAAGTATTATTTTTAATTACTGATTTCTGCTTGTTCTGGATCTTCATTGCTGCACACAGGCTTTATCTAGTTCTAGAGAGTGGGGGCTACTCTCTAGTTGCGATGCACAGGCCTCACACTGTGGTGGCTTCTTATTGTGCAGCATAGGGTCTAGGGGTATGGGCTTCAGTGGTTGCAGCATGACAGCTCGGTAGCTGCGCTATGAGGGCTCCAGGGCATGCAGGCTTCAGTGGTTGCAGCGCTTGGGCTCAGTAGTTGTGGCTCTCAAACCTGAGAGCGTGCACGCTTCAGTAGTTGCAGCGCTTGGGCTCAGTAGTTGTTGACTCTAGAGCATGGGCTTAGTAGTTGTGGTGCACGGGCTTAGTTGGCATGAGGCATCTTCTCATTTCAGTCCCCTATAATGAAAAGAACATCCTTTTTGGGTGTATATGAAAAGGACATCTTTTTTGGGTGTTAGTTCTAGAAGGTCTTGTAGGTCTTCATAGAACCATTCAACTTGAGCTTCTTCAGCATTACTGGTTGGGGCATAGACTTGGATTACCATGATACTGAATAGTTTGCCTTGGAAACAAAGAGATCATCCTGTCATTTTTGAGACTGCATCAGATACTGCATTTTGGACTCTTGCTGACCGTGAGGGCTACTCCATTCCTTCTAAGGGACTCTTGCCCACAGTAGTAGATATAATGGTCATTTAGCTCACAGAATTTTAAAGCATCAGAATTACGCAGGTCCTTAAATGTCCTCTGGAGGCTCAGATGGTAAAGAATCTGCCTGCAATGCAGGAAACACAGGTTCAATCCCTGAGTCGGAAACATCCCTTGGAGGATGAAATGGCTACCACTCCATATTCTTACCTGGGAAATCCCATGGATAGAAGAGCCTGGTGGAGTACAGTCCATGGCGTCAGAAAGAGTCAGACACGACTGAATGACTAAACAACAACAACAGGATAGGTTTGAATCATGCACTGGACAAAGCTACAAATTAAAATCATTTTACCTTGTTGTTCTTCTAAGAAAGCTAGTCCATCAGTGGAGACACACTTAAGAAACACATAAGAACATAAGAAAAACATAGAGAACACACTTAAGAAAATGGGGGTGGGGAAGAAGGAGAGGGTGGAATGCATGAAGAAGCTAACATAGAAACGTACACTACCATATGTAAAATAGAGAGCCAATAGGAATTTTCTGTGTGACTCAGGGTGCACAAACCAGGGCTCTGTAACAACCTAGAAGGGTGGGGTGGGGAGGGAGGTGGGTGGGAGATTCAAGACGGAGGGGACATGGGCAAACATGTGGCTGATTCATGTGGATGTTTAGCAGAAACCAACAAAATATTGTAGAGCAGTTATCCTTCAATTAAAAATAAATAAATAAACTTTTAAAAAAAGAAATCTAGTCAGAGGAAGCCTCCAAAGTGAGAAGTCTTAGAATTTCATAGCAGCTGTTTCTCTTGGGAAGCTGACCAGGGAGGCAGGCTGCTGATATGGCATGTGGCCAGGACTAAGGACAGGTGTCAGCCGTGGTGAGTGTCAGACAGTGGCTGGTTAGGACAAGTGGCCAGTGTGGACGGAAGGCAGGGGACAGCCCAGAGGGATCTGAAGAGGGTGACCAGGCTGGAGGTCAGGAATAAGAGCAGTGTTCTCTCCATCGTCAGACAGTATGGGGACTCAGCCTCAGACTCACGAGTTCATGGTGCACCTAAACCAACACCTGCCCCTTGATGTAGCAACTNTAGAGACCTCATGGACTGCAGCCTACCAGGCTCCTCCATCCATGGGATTTTCCAGGCAAGAGTACTGGAGTGGGTTGCCATTGCCTTCTCCGAGATGCTTACTAATCATATTTTAACTTGAAAAACAACTTGTATTGCCCACATTTTCTTGGTACTCTGACTACAAATTTTTGTACTAGATAAAAATCTTTCCTTCTAGAAAACTACTAATTAAATATTTTCTTAAAAAAAATACAATATTGTTTCCTGTAATTATTTTTCAAATTCAAGTATAGGTTAGCATTGTTCTGCATTCTGTGGGTGGCTTGTTGGATTTGTCCATGAAAATTTATTGCAGTTTTATTTATAAATTCTCATTCCAACTATCCAGTGTTGGGCTAAACTCCACAGGTTAAGGATATAGTCCCCCTCAGGACTGGGAGAGAGGGACACTAGGAAAGTCACAGGTCAGTTTGTTTAAGATCATTTGTCCCGTAGATGATAATGGAAGAGCCACTGGCTTTAATTCTTCATAGTGTCATTTGGTGAGACTAGACTGTTCATATATATTTATCATGGTGATCTGCCAATGGATGGCATACCCAGAAGTTGGTAAGATTTAGAGCAGTGGCAACTATTTAGGATAATCTAAGAATGGGAAGATCACCTGGGGGAGGAAATGGCACCCCACTCCAGTATTCTTGCCTGGAGAACCCTATGGACAGAGGGGCCATCCATGTAGTTGCAAAGAGTCAGACATGACTGAGTGTGTGAGCATGATATAAGCATGAAAAATGGTGTTAGAATGAGTATGCTCTGACCTAACAAAGAGGAAAGGAAAGAGAAAACAGGTCATTATGGATGGATGACAACTAGGGATCAATAGAAATGAGAAGAATAACTGGCCAAGCAGATGAAAAATACAACAGGACTTATTTGGGTTCTTTTTTTTGTTTTTTGAAGTACAGTTGATTTACAGTATCGTGGTAGGCAAAACAGGGCTTTGCCACAGGTCTCGGTCTGACATCTTGGGCAGAAGCTATCCCTTATTTGAAGTCATCAATTTATTCCGAAGGTCTTCGGTCAGCTGGTGTAGAGACCAGCTGCTTTAGAGCATCTTGGAAAATCCTCAGTCTGAAGTCCTCTGCTGGAATAGGCTTCCAGTTGTGTCAATTCTGAGACGCTTCTTTAGTTGTAAAATATGTTCGGAAGAATTGACACCCTGGAGTTTCACTGCTGCATTAGTTAACAATATCTGATAAGGTTCTATACAGTAACGCTCAAGAGCAGTTTTCCTCTGCTGTCTTACACAAAAATCTCATGGTTGAGGATCACAAAGAGCCTATTTAGGGGGAGGCTGTGGGAAGCTGTCCTCAACCTATTGATGACAGGACAGGGTATACATGAATCCCCTGTAATATTTTGCCATGTCTGCATGATTTAGTATTGGAAGTGGAATCTCCAAATAACTGTTCAGTTCTTAGACAACTGATGTATTCCCAAGGGAGTGAACCATATACCCACAAGGTGCTTATGAGAGTACCCTTGGCCAGGGAGCTAAAGGGTTCTGAGATTTTTGGTAATGTTAATAATGTCACTGATTTCTGTAAAGTGTGTGCCTTGACCACTCAATATAAAAAATGGGATGTCCTAGGTTGGAAACAAAAAATCAAGCTGTTTTTAGGAAGGACTATAGCTTTTTCATTTTGGAGAAGGAAATGGCAATCCATTCCAGTGTTCTTGCCTGGAGAATCCCAGGGACGGGGAAGCCTGGTGGGCTGCCATCTATGGGGTCGCACAGAGTTGGACACGACTGAAGTGACTTAGCAGCAGCAGCAGAGCCTTGAGCAGAGTTCCCTGCTCTATTCAGTAGGTTCTCATTAGTCATCTATTTTATATATAGTATCGATAGTCAATGCCAATCCCAATCTCCCAATCCATCCCACCTCTGCTTCTCCCCTTGGTGTCCATATGTTAGTATTCTGCATGCTTCATTGTTACTGTATTTCTGTCCATCTTCATCTGGACTGCAGACTCCATGAGGGCAGGCTGTATCTATCTCCATCACCATAGCTCCCTCAGTGCTCAGATATCAGTAGAATGCATGACTGCATGAATGCCACTTTCTAGAGCCTCCTCACAAACTCTGCCAAGGGGATGAGACCTGAAATGGCTAATTTTAGCATGAGGTATAAGGGACAAATAGTGAGCTCCTGACAACAGGGTGGGAGGAAATGGGAGCTCTCCCTACAACTGGGTGTGAATCACAGAAACTCTCCAGAAACCTTCACACCCCCGGAGCCAGCCATCTGCTCAGAAGACAGCAATTAGGACACGGCAGCCCGACAGCCCAGCACCACTTGTCCGTGGCTGTGAGCTGTGTANCTAAACCCTCTTATCACCATATTGATGCTGCTTATGGTTGTTCCATGTATTATCAATTGTCTAACTTGTTTTGTCTCTGCCCAGGTCAACAAGCTACAACATGCAGTGCCAGTTCAACAAGAATATATAAAACTACAGTCGACCATGGAAAATGTCACTCACCGTTAGATGAACAGAGCTATAAGGACTCTGAGGCTTGAGATTTGCAAGAGGGGGAGGCCCAATGCCCCTCGCTGTCCCAGTTCAGCAGGAAGTAGTCAGAGACCTCAACACCACTACTCCCAAAGAATTGGGCCTCCCCTCTCTTGAGCGGCGAATGTAAGGTAGTTAGAATAGGAAAAAGGAGTCCCAAATAGCAGTGGCTAGAAGA